CAGATTTACATGGATCAATCGAAGTTTAAAAATTGCGCTGAATTTGTGCTGATTGTCTCGCATAAGGTTGGCCACGTTTTCTCAAAATTTGTAACAGTTACAAAGAAATTTTATATACACTCATATTTCATTGTGTGTTTGGATTTAGTGGTAAAAATAAAGGTAAGTTTCATCGGACCGACCTATTTCATTTTCGCACGGTTTAGGAAATATTTAAGGTTATGTGCCTGGTTATTAAAAAAATCAGCATATTAAGAAGAGTCCGGAAAATAGATTTTATTCTAATTAGTCTTATTTGTTACACAAGGTTTAGGTTTAATGAATTTTCATGATTTTCGAGTCAACAATGGCACCGTGCGTCTTTTTGTACCGTAAGGAGTTTCAAAATTTGTAAATACCAAGATCTCATTTTCACTCTGTTTATTATTGCCTTTAGTAGAACGCTCGTAAAACATGTTCTACGCCTATTTAGAGTGATTGTTGAATTGTTTGATTTTTTCTCATTTTAGCGCATTCTATGTAAAAAATAATATTTAGTATTTTAATTTCAACAGAAATCAAATCGATGCTGAAATATGCTGCTACGAAAACATGTTTTTTCAGCTCCGTATTATCGTGTTTAAGCTGTGATAAATTGTCTGCCATTACTGTTTAAATGGGCCATGGACTTTTATGTGGGTAACTTTAAGAAATAGGTTATACAAAAATTGAAATAATTATATAGTGGCAGAAAAAAATCGAGACCAATGAGATCTTGGTATTTACAAATTTCGAAATAAATATGGTAGAAAAAGACACCGGCTATAATTCTAAACTCGGATGTAATGCTACCTAATCTAAAACGTGTGTTCCTTTTGTAAATATTACTAGTTAGCCTAATATCTATTTTGCATGCTTTTCTTATTATTATTTTTGATAATGTCACATAACCTTAAATATTTAAAACAGATCGGTCTCATGAAACTTACCTTCATTTTTACCACTAAATCCAAAAACTTAATAAAATACAGGGTGTTAAATAGGACGAACTTTTGTATTTAAAATGGATCACCTTATGTGAGACACCCTGTACGTGTAGGAATTGCAGGAATTAGTTTTGGTTAGTTGCGTTAGACGTAGATGGATAAGGCCGTTGGTGAATCCACGAAATATTATGGAAGGATCAACTTCTTTGTTACTTTTTATACTCTTTTTTTTTAAACAGAACCAGAAACTATCACTTTCAATGGATAATAGTTTAGACAATTCATGTTTATTTTACTTTGGATTATTCATTCAACAGTGTAAGTTGAGAAGAATGCCAGGTGATTCATCTCGCGTGTAGGATTTTGGAAAAAAATAGTATTAGGGAAGTTGGCCTAGAGAAATTGCTGAAAATACCGAGTGCCCCAGTAAGAGCAACCAGATACGGTGTGGGGGAAACGAACGAAGCTAGAAATTTGAAAAAAAAAACATCAAGTAATATATAGGGACGATTGCACAGGACGGACAACTTAAGGGTTATATCTTAAAGTTCATATAAATTTCAATTATAGTTTCCAATAAGTTCACTATTTCAGTTTTTACACACCTCGAATCGTTTCTAATTTCACTAATGTGCATACAGTAGAAAGATGAGTTTGGTGAATCAAAATAATGTAACAGCGGGATTAATACAAGTAATTTATTAGATTAAAAAAAAATTATGCATTATTATAACGAAAGAGATTGTTATAAATATTATTATTAAAAAAAAAATTGTAAAGTTTATTTATCATGTTCCGAGTAGTCAGATAAACTCCGGTCGTTGGAATCTAGAGAAATAATAAGTGGCTCTACAGTGTTTTCTAGCAAGTTCTCTACTTCCCACATGCTTCACATTCTATTTGGTAGGCTTTTCATCCTCATTTATGGCAGTTTCTTTAATTTTTTTTATTACTTCTCTTTGGTGCTGTGTTGGTGCCACGATTATGCTCATGAATAACTCCGTATATTGTTGAGTATTCAACTCCGGTCGTATTCGAAAATATTTAAACTATTTTTGCAACTCAGCCTCATGGCGGGAATAATAATATTTGTCATTTTTAGCAAGCTCAGTTCTACTAATCCGTTTTTTAGCAACAAATTTAGAAACATTAGTCATTTTCAAGGACTAACTCTGCGAACAATTGCTTATTTTGACATCCTTATCCGGTTACAAATTTTTATCGCATATTTTTTAATTAAAAATTACTTTTAATTATTAACTCAGTCAATCAATCAATTTTTGGAGAGTAAGGCCGGGATTAGCCAATTTCATATTCTTGATTCCTAATCGTATTAGTCACTTTATTGCATGGACGTCAGCCGTTGTAAACAAATGACATCGATAATAAAATTCCTTAATCGGCGCTGTTATTTCTTAAAATATGACCTATTGCTTGGAATACACAATTTCCAATATACAATATAAAAGTTGAAAAATTGTGAATAAGTTAAGAAATTGGAAAGGGTTAATAAACGAGTGACTTAAAAAGTTTACTAAAACTGACATTACCGTCAGAATTGACAAACGTCAAAATTCAAATTGCGGGTAAAATTTCCGAAAACGCCCGATTGTCCCAAACCCGTGTGGTAATAATCCGGAAATATCCGAAGTGGCTCGAATCAGTGGGACAAGAAACTCACGTGGTAAAGTGACGGTATTTTACATAAGGGAATAGAAAAACACGTTCTTCCGACATTTTTATAACCTCTGCTATCTCCCTCACTTTAATTCGACGGTTGTTTAACACTACTTTATGAACTTTAGCAATATTATCGTCGGTAGTTACGGTTTTTCGACGTCTCTTACGGCCACATTTAAATTTAGCTGCCCAAAATTTCACTGCGGTGTAACGGTGCAACTTTATTTTGCGTGGGCGTATTTCCTTTCAAAATCAAATATTTTATAACAGCTCTATAATCATGTTTTCCATTTTCACGAAAACACTCACAACGACTCTTAACTAAAAACCACGGTTTCAAAATGGCCGAAACTTTAGTAAGTAAGTAACAAGAGATGTACAACTACAACCAATAGCTTCTAGTGCCGCCATCTTCAGGGTGAGGTCGGAAACTTTTCAAGCGACCCTCGTATAACAAAAATTTTCAGATGAAGAAATCAATAGATATAACTAGTCACGCAAAAATGGCAGGAAGGTAAAATATTACATGCGAAATAAGGAGGGGGAAATGCCCGAAGGGGTTCCCAGCCGTAGGAAACGAAACTGTCGTCGTAAAATGACACTTTCCGTACTCTAGATCAGTGTCCAATTGGGTATTTTAGAGAAGGAAACAGGTATTTTAAAATTGTCAATATCTTTACGATTAAGAATTACGCCTTAAAAATACAAAGATGGCTACTATTTACAGATCTTCTAAAAAACTAACCCAAACTATGATTGATATAATTTTTTTAGAAACCATTTTTTTAATCAAGGTAGCAATTATTCAAGCTGGTGGCCATTTCAAAGGCTTGCAAACAATTTAATTAGAAACAAAACGTTAATAATTTAATTGAATAAAACATTTCAAATTATGTATTAATGCTATCATATTTGCTGCTTCTTCGTATGAAAACGGCATTTCAAACACACACATCTTTATGCAAATGGAAACGATTAACATGTGTGAAACAAAAATTTGACCTTTATTTTCGCGGCCTACTAAGTGTAAAAAGGTATAAAAACATAAAGGTGAATAGGGAGTCCGAAGTTCATCAGAAGAAGTGCAAAATTTTAGTAGTTTTACCCCGTTAATATTTTTAAATTTTGGCTGATATTATAGTGAAGCCTAAGACAAGCTTAGTTTAAATTTTTGCACTAAATTTCTTCACATGGTTGGTGCAGCAGATTTAATGTTGTCTCATTAACTCTTAAGCGTAACTTCATCGAGTTTGATTACCAAATTGAAACTATTCTTGTTTCGAGATCGACAAAGCTTAAGGAGTTGGGTATAATGTTCCTAAACTTTTATTTGTACATATACATATAAGAAACATATCCTCAGTAAAAATAATTATTCTATAACAGCTATCTTCCAGTATGGTTATGTAGTCAATTAAAAAAAAAGGAAATAAAGCAGTCTAAAATGCACTGCCGTAAAATAGCTGAACTATTTTGAAATTAATAAATAATGAAATCGGGTCTCCTAACTAATTTTTTAATTCAGGAGATTATAACGATAACTAGTATAGTAGAGTAGAGCAGTAGTATTAGAGTACTAGAGATATAGAGGCCCTGAATATTCCAATAGTACAATAAATTAATACAATAATTAATAAGAATTAAAATTTTTCTTAGAAAGTCATTCATCATGCGCATGCGCGAGATTTAAAATCCCGCTCGTAACCAATGACCTTGCGGTATTCGACAACCAATCTGGCAGGTGACATATATCGTCAATTAGTACGGATGCGAGAATTTTCAAGGCAGTACATTCTCAAAATATGCCTTGATCATATTAAATTTTCTCTAAAAACGAGTTAAGTGGGTGGAAATAGCTGTTTAGAAAGAAAAGTTCGCAAAGGGTGGGTTGTAGTAGGTGTAAGGGCTAATAGCCATATGATGGTAAAGCCTGAGATAAACTTTGTTCAAATTGTTGTACGAAATTTCTTAAAAAAGTGTTAGCAGTCGTTAGAAAACCAGTTTCCTATGGTTTTGTGATTAGTTATTTAAATTGTTGTTTTCATTATTTGTCATAATAAAACATTAACAATAACAAGAAAAAATCGAAATTTATATTTTTTTCTATAAATTTGATCTAATTTCTCAGTCAGTTAAAATATTTGTATCATTCTATTTGAAATTTCAGAAAAATAATTAATTAATTATAAAGACATAACACTATAAATTTTGTAATAGGTGGGTGAGTTCTTATGAGTTATCCAGTTAAACAGTTTGCTACCGGTATGTTTTTTAAAGGACACTTAATTTGGTGAAATATGTTTTGCAACACTTTAAAAAAAATTTCCTCCTCACCAATTAATGTTTTATCTTCAGTACAGCTTCGCTACGACGTTGGACAAGCTCTTAATTTTGATCGGGGTATTCGCTTCAATCATATGTGGCGTCTTGCAGCCTTATCTGCTTATTCTCTTCGGAGACGCATCCGGAGTGCTGATAGAATACACCAGCACTCTTTTATCGAAAAATTTGACAGAAACCGAAAAAGCTGGTCTGGACGATGAATTGTATGACGCCATTTCATATTTCGTCGTATACACAGTGGTAGTTTCATTTGTTACCCTCGCAATGACCTACATTGGCGCTCTGGTATTCGCAGTTACATCAACGAGGCAGGTGAGTAATATTTTTTCTCATAAACTTGAAGTCAGAAATGGTTCTTCATGGAGCAGCTTTAGGTTGAAACAAAATCAACACAATGGTGTACTGTTATAGGTCCTCGATCTTAAATTATAAATGAGTAATACTTTCTCTCTTTTGTAAAAGATGTAAATTCGTCGGTCGAGCTTTTTAATAACAAAGTTTATTCCTATTTAGATTTATATCCCCAAAACGTGTAGAAATTAGGAAAGGGAATTAACTAAAGGCACAAACACTGGAAACAAATTCGTATAAGAAACACTCGATCGTGAACAGAATCTTAAAACAAAACCCCAGTCTATCATATCTAAATCTACAGTAATGTATTGAATTTCAAAACAAATTTCAAATCTCAAAATATTTGTTGCATTTTCTTAATTTTATGTTTATTCCGCTATTCATCATACAAAATCGAGCCAAAAAAAAAAAACAACCTCCCGAACTTCCTTTTCAAAAATTTCAAGATATCTGGCGTTACTCCATAAAATGTTTCAATTGCCGCACGTTAGATGGCGCACTTAAAGAAATATAAAAACTCCACTGCACATTACTACACACTACTGCAACAGGTTAGACAAAATTATTATTTACAGACTTTAGTGTTTGTCCGGCCTTTTTATTTATTGAAAACTATTTACCGATAACTTATTAACAACTTCAAAAAATACTTTGAGAACGCTATCCACAAGAGTTTGTCATGTTCCTTTAACGAATAGAGTTGAGACAAGAATTGACACGGTTTCAGGAAGAATAAATCTACGACATCCAACCTTTTAACTATTACCAAATTTTATAGACGGTCTTCACTTTTTTTACTTCATTGAACAATTAAAAACCATTTATTAGGACTCTTTACTAAAGTTCCTATTTCTGAAACTCTTAACATAATTTCAGATACATTACATTCCGAAAATCAGGATCAAATCTTCCCATTTTAATTGAAAAATGCTGTAACATATTTTTCTTGCAACGGTTAAATTTATGAACAAAAATTAGGTAATTAATTTTACATAAAAAGTACGCACACAGACTAATACCTTAATTCGTTGTCACAGCTAGTCCAGAAGTCATCGCTTATCAACTCTGTTGTCTGCAGAGCGCCAACACTATCGTAAACTGAATTACTTGACCCAAAATTAATACACCTTATATCTGCTCCTTTCTCAAATAATTTCCATTAGAGATATTAAGCGTTCTACTACAAAACACACTTTACCACAACCTATCAAAGAAAATAAATCCGAAATGCAATCCCACTTGCCACTGTTAAAACCAGATTTGCCACTTGTCCAGAAATCTTTCAACACCTTCGATCCATCAAAGACAAAATTCCGTTTGAGACACCAGAAGTTAATCAAAAAATTCTTGCATGTAATCAAACCTTGTACCAAGGAAAAGTTCGAGATTCCATAGAACTTTCTAAATAACCAAACAATTTTAACCGCAACTCAGGTCGCGCCATTTTCACCAATATGGGAATCAATCATCCTAGACAATACTTATGTCCCTCCTTTAGGCGCCTCCTCCCTCAAATAGTATACACTACAAAGATGGAGCGTTCTTATTTCTATAAAGCTTCTATAATTTACCAAGCTGCGTTTCGTTCCTTTAAATTTCAGACTTTCAAAATGAGACAACAATTTCTGGAGAGAACGTTAAGTCAGGATATTGGCTGGTACGACCAAAATCCTACAGGAAATTTTTCCAGCGTACTGACTGAGTGAGTCTGAACCAACCCAACAGGTTTCACTTTGGAATGTAACGTTATTGCTATTGCAGCAATATTCCAAAAATTGAAGACGGCATGGGAGACAAAGTCGGACAATTTATATTTTACTGTGCCACATTTGTTGCGGGAGTTATTTGGGCGCTGTTGAGAGGCTGGAAGTTGGCGCTCGTTTGCCTAACTTCTTTCCCCGTCCAAACTGCCGTTTTAAGCGGAATAGGATGGGTAATTGCATGAAAAAACTAAATGTTTTTTATACTTATGTCAGTTAGACCTCTAGTTATCTGCTAAATATTGCAAACAAGAGATGCAAGCATACGGAGCAGCTGGGGCGATAGCTGAAGAAGTACTCGGTTCAGTAAGGACAGTAATAGCATTTGACGGACAGAATAAAGAGTGCCAGAGATACGATAACTACGTGAAGGAAGGTACATTTTATCGCCACTTTTTTGAGTCTAGAAGATACTTTTATATTTTATTATGTTTTTTATTACTTTTTTTTATTTAACAAAAAATACTTATTTTTTACGTAGTACATGTTGGCAGACCTTTATACCACAGGTTTTCTTGTACAATTTGAAAGTCTCTACATCTCGCTTTGTTTTTCGAGAATCTAAAAAAACATATGTTCGATACTGGGAACACAAAAGAACAAAAGGTACACAATGACATAGATGGTAAAAAAAAAGTTTATAAATCCTAATAATTTTCACGAATAAACGATGTATATTTTATCCATGTTTCTCCTTTCGTGTCCTCTGAAAAAAGGTTGTTCTAATATAGAAACTCAATGTCTTCGTTATATCTATCCATATCATTACATCACTACACATTAATTGCACTACAAGATTTTCACTAGAAGAGTTTTAAACTTGTTTATCCTATTTCTAATTTCCCTTTCCCTTAAGATTGTTTTTTGGATTTTGCTTAACCTCAATTTGTTTAATAAATGTCTTGGATCTACTTTTGGTTATTTCCAAGCTGATTAAAGCCTCATGGAATTGTAATTTTTATGGAGATGTCGTTATTAGGGCAATGGCCACCACGCCTTCTTTTCTTACTAGTAAAGGCGTTATGGTCATAGCAGATTTTGGTCTCTGAATCATTTTTTTACTGAAACTGATGGTACGGCATTACTATCTTCTTGAGTAACTACAACTAGGTTTTTTTCATGTAGTTTTAGAGGTGGTGGCATTTTTTCATATGATTTAACGCATTTTTAGATAAATAATTCTCAATATGGGATATCCAATATCGGATATGCGATATCCAAAACTTTGGTATTTACAAATCTTCTGGATTTCTTACATATCACACAAACACTAACCATCATGTTTTTTTAAAAGAAAACAGTTTGTCTTCAGGATTCATATACAAATTAAAAGTCTGACAATTTACTGAATCCGATAGTATAATAAAAAAATAATAAGTGTTACCTCTTGGAAATAGGAATGTTCAAATTTTGGCAGCACGCAATTTCAATTACATCACGGTAAGTAAAAATTTGTAGGTATCTGTAATTTTATCAGAAATTGTCGGCTTTGTTGTGCTCTTGATTAACGTAAAAACGCACAAATGGCGCCGCCTGCCTTAAGAAATATAATGATATCCGGTATCTAGGCTACTTTCCTCTTTCCATAATTTTTAATTATGTAATAAGGTCCAAAACATTCCCAAACAAGTTAATAGACCCAGTTTTTAAGTCAGTAAACCAAAAGTGATCCGATATTCATTATGATATCTACTGTGGGAAATCTAATAGATTTTGCAGAATTTGTTACAAATGTCATGGCATATGGGGGCAGGTGGATACTATTTTCACAGACCTTGAAAAAGCTTTTGATCAGGTTATGTAGGAATTGGTGCTCATTGTTGCAATCCTATTTAACAAGTACAAAACACTACCTCTCAGTTAAAAATAATAACTCCTTTTCATTGTTTCCTACATCCCATCCCATAGGGTTTAATATTAGGGCCACTTTTATTTATAAATGACATAGAATAAAACATCAAATGGTCAAATATCTTCTTGTAGGTCTATGACATAAAAATATACAGAAAAATAGAGACATAAAATGATTTTAGAATATTGCAAGAGAATATTAATAATCTACTAAAGTTAAATTGTTAGATTTTAATGTCAAAAAGTGTAACTTTATATCATTTACGTACCGGGTGAGTAAAAAGTACCGAAATGCTTATAAAATTAATTTGCTGGGAGTTTTATGTAAATAAATGCAGATGAATGAAAAAATTCAAAAGAAATTCCTTAAATTTGCCAACCTGTCAAAAGGAGAACCTCATACTTATGTCAACTAGATACACCGTTATAAATTGTTAACACTGCACGACAGAAGAGTTATGACTCAGTTACTATATGTTTTTAAGGTCATCATAATTTAGTCTTTGATAATGCATCATTGACTTAGTTATACTTAAGTATCCTAAATATGTAAAATGCGTTTAAAAGGTTACAGGACCATTAAAGGCACAGCTAGAACAAATTACCATTTAAAATCCGCAGTTATGACAACATAATAAAAACTAAAGTAAAATCGACATATTTAGTAATAAAAAAGCATTGTTTGCAAATTTATTAGAAAAGTTGATCCAGAATGTTTCCAATGTGATTGAATTATTCTAATGAACGATTTCCTGTTCATATCTCTTTCTGATGGAGTAATAGTCAGAATTTCAGTTAATTTTAGAACTTGTTTTTGGGTTTGGGGTCTGTAGTTGAATTACTAATAAATGAAATAAATATAATTCGCTTTCTAGCAAGAAATAACAACCTGAGGAGATGTCTTTTCAACGCGATCAGCCAAGCGTTCTTTTGGTTTTTGGCTTACGCTTGTTTCGCGCTAGCATTTTGGTATGGCACCGGCCTGGTTCTTGAAGAAAGGGCTCTACCAATAGACCAAATCACCTACTCTCCCGGTAACATGATAAGTGTTAGTCTACTTCTGTAGTTTTGTGTGCGAGTCAATGAAAATAAAATTATTTTGCAGGTATTCTTTTCGACGCTTTCGGGATCCATAGCGCTAGGCTCAACGGGGCCATTTTTGGAAGTGTTTGGTATGGCTAAGGGCGCCGCCAAAGATGTATTTGCCGTCCTTGAAAGTAAACCGCTCATGCACGAAAATAAAGACAGTGGCAAAAAGCCCAATTTCAAGACGAACATTAGTTTCAGAAACGTCGATTTTTGTTATCCGTCTCGACCGGACGTCCAAGTAAGTAATTTTGTCAAACGAAAGAGGACGCTTTTATCAGCAAAAAAAAATTTGTTCTTCGTAATAAAGGAACGGAGGAGAGTAACGAATAAAAAAAAAGTGTCATTTGAATATGTGTTGCGAGAGGTTTGCTTTACGAGCATTATATTTTTATCTTGATTATCAAACAATTGCACATACTGTTTCTATTTATTTAAAAGAGACACCAGTCAAGATGTCGATTACTATAAGATTCCTGAAACTTTAGCAGCAAATAAATTATATTTTATAATCCAAAAATAACAGAGGGCACAGACAGTAATTCACTAGAATTGGACGTCACACATGCATAATGAAATATTTAAGAATGCGATGTATGAGAGAGTACTTAATCAGATTTCTTCACAAAATCGGATTTAGATTTAAAAATATTGACAAGCGTAGTTGCATTAGTCCTGAACTGGATACAATATTTTACTCAAGTTGGTTGGACACCCATAACACTATATAGAAAGGACGGCAAAATGCTTCATCGAACTGCATTTTGAATATACCTGGTCGAGGGAAGGTTGAGTGCCAAAGAATGCTCATTACATCTTACCAGGTAACCTAACAGTTTATGATAATGCTAGTTATTACAGCACTTAAGCTAAAAAAGTACCAACGCTCAGCAGCAAAAAAGGGATATTGCAAGAATTACTTAGTCAGCATGACATTTATTTTGAAGAAACACAAAAACAACTAGTTGCAGTTTTAAGAACCAAATCGTATGATGAATCTTATTCTGTAGACGAAGTCATAAAAAATGCAGTAATTTTAATTACCACCTTATCACTGCGATTTGAATCCTACAAAGCTTATTTATTGGTATCAGATTTCCAATAATAATAGTAATAATAAATTAATTTTAATACTCTACACTTTTCTAAAATAGCGTATAGTCATCATACATACTATTATAATAATGTATATAACGTCTATTACTTAAATAAGTGAATTGTTTATATTTACCCCACTCGCGATAAGAGTCGAATATTCCAGTCGGCCCTCGATAAGCGGCATCAGTATAATCACAGTCCATTTGGCTTACTCGTGGCAAATATATCATCTAACAGTCACGGCAAAAATTACTAGATCCTAGTCGCTGCTCATTACTTTCAGTCTCAGAACTGACCGCTCACTACTTGTGACCGAAACGTCTATTATTTCATGTTTTTTCTGAATCATTTTAAAACTTTTCTAACAGGTTCTAAAGAACGTGAACGTAGAAATAGTGTTCGGAGACACCGTGGCTCTGGTAGGCCATTCTGGTTCTGGAAAATCCACTGTTGTCCAATTATTGCAAAGATTCTACGATCCCGATGCTGGAAGCGTAAGACACTTATCCTCCTGCCATTAGACATTGATGCATTAGATTTACATTCTTCGCAGGTATCCATAGACAATGTAGATCTAAAGGAGGTAAACATTTCATACCTGCGGCAAAATGTCGGAGTTGTGAGCCAAGAACCGGCCCTATTTGCCACGACCATAGCAGAAAACATTCGGTTTGGAAAACTCAATGCCACTAAAGAGGAAATTATCAATGCCGCCAAGATAGCGAACGCCCATAAGTTTATCAAGTCCTTGCCTAACGGTTACGAGACTATAATCGGGGCAAGAGGAACCCAGCTTTCGGGAGGACAAAAGCAGCGCGTTGCTATCGCTAGAGCTTTGATCAAGGAACCAAATCTACTAATTTTAGATGAAGCCACGTCTGCGCTGGATACGGAAAGTGAAGCCGAAGTTCAAACTACTTTGGATTCCGTACGTGATATCCGGATTTATTTTAAAGTTGCGTCGATGTCGATGTTGATGATTTTAGATAAGTAGGGTGTGCACCAAAGTGATAGTGGCTCACAGGCTATCAACCATAAGGAACGCAAATCGAATAATAGTGTTTAGTAATGGAATCATAGTTGAAGAAGGATCGCACGAGAGTCTAATGGAATCTAAAGGAGTCTATTACAACATGATAGAGTCGCAGGGCTATACAGACATTTCTGCACATAGTAAATCGAAAGAACTTACTAAACAAAGGGCGAAAAGCATAGCATCGAGTGTCGAAGAGCAGGAGCACAAAAAATTGGACGATGAATTTGAAGCCGTATGTTGAAAGCCAGTTCGGTAGCAACGGTTATTCGGTCACCTTGAATTCTATTCTAGGAAAAACTTGAGGAGAAAAAGGGGAATTTAGGTGTGATGTTGAAAATACTCAGTGCTAATAAACCTGAGTGGTTTTCAATGCTGATGGGAAGTATAGCATCCGTATTGAATGGTGCGTCCTTGCCCTTGTATGGTTTAGTCTTTGGTAATATTCTGGGAGTGAGTACCTTTACGTCGCCTATCCAATGTTCATCATTTTTGAAACAGATATGAAAGACGGAAGATAAAAAGTAGCCAAAATCAGATTTTTAGGACCAGCAGCGTTATTATAATTTATGTTTGAGAATAAAAAAAAAACTGTAAACTCTTTCAAGCAAAAAATTAAAGTACTTCGAGAACTTTCCACGCTAAAATAGTGGTATTTACTTAAGTCTAAGGGTCTCAAAAATGCCATTTCGATTAAAATATGTAATTTATGAAAAAATAAATAAATAAAAAAAGACAGTATCGAGCTGGACAAATGATGCCAACAATGGAAAAAATAATTGCAACAATTCAGCAAAATTTTAATAAGTTCATTATTGAAGAAATTTTTAAATATTTTAATTTTTTGCCTCGCCGAGTACTGTTTAAGATGATGAAGGAGAAATTGCATTCTTTCTGGTTAAATTTAAAATTTAAAAAAAGTCATCCTGAAAGATGGCAAATATATTTATATACCGTGGTTCGAAAAATTTGAATTATTTTTTTCAAAAATGGAATATTTCATGGTTCTTCAGATCATATTTTAGAGTAAATTTAAGCAAAATTAGCGATATTTTGATTTTGAAAAATATAATAAAAAGTCATAAAATTTTAAAATTCGGCAATTTTTATCTATTACAATGTTGGTTGATTTGATATGGAACGACCCTTATTCAGCATCCTGCACTCTAGTACATATTTACATCTTTTCCATATTTAGGTATTGTCTCTAACAGACGAGGTCATTGTCAGGCAATTATCAATAACATATTCCCTGCAATTTTTCTACTTGGGTATTTTGTCTGGAGTGTGCATGTTTCTGCAGGTAAAAAAAATTACACGTAACCTCTGCGTTGGTGTCTATATACCAGTACATTAATTTCAGATCTACGCATTTAGTTATTCCGGAGAACAGCTCACCTATCGGTTAAGGAACATGATGTTTGACTCGATGCTTAAGCAAGAGATTGGTTGGTTTGACAGGAAAGAGAACGCGGTTGGAGCTCTCTGCGCACAATTATCCGGCGACGCGGCTAGTGTCCAGGGGGTGAGAATATCAAATAAAATCGGGTAATCCTGACGTTTGCGTATATAGTATATGGGTAAAGTTTAACTGTCATCGCCAAATGACGCACAGTTGCACGGCGTTGTCAAGCTGGTGTATTTCTTCGATTTAACCAGAAAATTATGTAAAATTTGCAAAATTGTGATTATTTCATTCTGCCTCTTTCCATAATGCACTTACAATCAACCCAACGGAGAAAGATAGACTAAATTGAGTTTGTTCAAAAATTTTCGCACGTGTTCAACGTGTGTATAAATCAAACGACAAAAAAAGCGGATACTTGTATTTTAAAAGTGCAATAAAATTTGCAGCTACCGACTTCAGACTTGGAAGAGTAGTAGAAGTCTGGAATTGAACTGAGGTGGCTTTTACTTGATGAAAATCCATTTATCAAAATAAATAAGAACTAAAAGTTCAGATTTTCACGAAATTATATATACACATGACAATTGTTTCGACAACACCGTGACCTTATCAAATCAAAAAACAATTGTCATGTGAATATATATAATTTCATGAAAATCTGAACTTTTAGTTCTTATTTATTGTGTTAAATGGATTTTCATGAAGTGAAAGCCACCTCAGTTCAATTTTAAAAGTGCTTTACATTTATTGCGATATCATAATAGCGGATTGTGTGTAAAACTTCTTTTAAATATAACTATTTATAAAACAAAATTATATGTAAATGAAATCAGAAATCGAGCAAATGTTTATGAAAACATTATTACTTATGTGAAAAAAACTAACCAAAACATCAAACTTCATTTAAAAATAAGGTATTGGATTTCAAGAAAAATGCTGAAAAGGGAGATGTTGACACGAAGTTCCTTTAGTAACTGGACCGCAATTTTTTAATCCATCCAAATTTGTCTATCTGATATATCAGACTGATTTGGATTTGGCTAGAAACGGCGAAAGTAGGAATTAAGTCAATTTTACTTTTTGTGTGGATCTTGCAATGGATCTTTCTGGATATTTTTTGCGTGAGGTAAATTACAAATTTTTTCACGTTTTGTTTAATATCCAATAAAAATTAAAATTTAATTTCTCTGGGTTTCATTTAGATCAGCCATATTCACTTTCATTACTGAAAGAAATATCATTCTGACTTTTTAAGAGCTTTACTAGCTACTTTCCTGTTCGTTTTAAAATTAAATTTCCGTTTTTTATTATTTTGCACATATAAAATAACAGAATTAAGAGTGAAATTTGATGCAGAATTCTAAATGGATTTAAAAAATGATGTTTGTTTAGAAAATGAACTGGGCGTCTACTTTTTGACTCGCCCTGTATGTTTTCTGTTTACTGCACGTTTTTCTTGAAATGCAATACCTGATATTTAAATAAATTTGTTCCATATTTTAGCCGTACATAAACATAAACAAAAAACATAAAAACAAAAATAAATTTCCTCTTCTTAAAACTAAACAAAATAAAATTCAAATTGATCAAGTTGATGAACGCTCCTTTGAACAGTAGTACACATCCATTAAAAACTAACGTTGAAGGTTCAATTTCCTTTCATCACCAATAATAAAAGTAGGCACAAAATATTTGAACGAAGAACTAAAAATTGCCATAAAGTACTATAACCCCACCTACTACTCAACAGTTTGATTCATAAGGAATGATCTACACATATCTTGCAAATATTGTTGTTTTTGGAGATATAAGGCGTTCAAATTAATAAAAACCGACAGTTTTAAGGTTTTTTGTCGTGATAATTTCGAATTTTAAAGCTATTCGGAGGTTGGTCTTAGAGCGTGCTAGTTTCACCATATTATTTAAAACAATCAAATCATGTTTTTTTTTATCTGTGGCAGTTATCATTGAAGGATGATGATAATCTGAAAGAATTTTCAATTTTTAAAAGAAAATGTACTTGTTCTGGCTGTCGGATTTTAACTGATTTGCATTTTAAAAAGTTCTAGGTATTTTTCTTGTTTTTTTTATAAATACTTAAAATATGAGGAGGTAGGGGAGCAATAAAAAAATCAATATTTAACAATAACAATTTCTGTAATATTATTAAAAAACTTCAAAATGAAATGTTGGAATTGTCCACCACCTACCTCAATAAATTTTATCATACACTCAACTTAGTCACTCGAGTAGGCTTTGTTTTTTAATTCGGCCCATATCATTTCTATCGGATTCAAGTCGCAGTGATTTACGGAGTATATTACCCGATTTTGTATGACTTCGTCTACGAAATAAGACAATCATAACATTTTGGTGTCTAGTATCTCCAGTTTGCAGATTGTCCGTTCTTTATGAATCACCCTGTATACGAAAACTGCGGGCTTACCTCAAATCGAGTGCTGCAGATTTCCAAATTTGGTTTTTAGGCGGGCGGCTCCAGAATCGGAATTATAATAAATTCACTCGCGACCGTCATTCTTTCGTTCGTTTTCGGACTCTACCTGGAATGGAGGCTGGCACTGATTGCGGGCTCGTTTTTTCCTTTGGTGTTGTTTTCTTTGTACTACGAAACCAAGTCGATGCAAAGCGGTTCGTCCAAAACGCAAAAGCTTTTGCAGAAATCCGCGAAAGTGAGGGCTGCGATTTAAAAAAGACAATAAACGTTTTCATTTTATTTGTTTTTTAGGTAGCAGTGGAAGCGATAGAAAACATACGTACGGTCAAGTCTCTGGGGTGCGAAAACGTTTTCAACGGGGCTTATTTGAAAGAACTCGTCACATGCAAGAAAATGGCGATACGAAAATGTCATTTTAGGGGCGTAATTTTGGGTTTGGCCCGAAGTCTCGTCAGTTTCGCTTACGCCCCCGGCCTTTGGTTCGGAGTTCGACTGGTCACATCAAATCAGGTCGACAACGCAACCGTTTTTAAGTACGTTTAGCCTAACAAAAGGGATTTAAAATATTAATGGGGAATTCTTTTCCTCTTGGTTGTTTTCTGTTTGTTTCTTTGATTGATCTATTTTTTGATATAATTCGTACTGAAATCATTTATTTCATTTTTAAATCGACAAATAATTGCTCCCACAGACATGCCGGTGAAATTAAACAAGTCACTCGGCGTAAAACTGTCGCTAAATATTTAAACACTACTATTCACTATACACAATACTATTTTCTAATATAAGATCTCTATTTGCATCCGTCTATAATTTATATTTGTGCGTTCGGGTGGTTATTTTCGACTGACTAGCAAGCGCGGCGCTTTTCTCTTTTGCAGCTGAGCCCATTCGGCTTGGGGAAACTCGTCCATAAGGCCCTTTGGTTACGAAAAATGTCCCCGTCACTATCTATAATTTGAAAGGCAACCGTCTTCCTTTCCTTCGGCATTCCTTTTGGATGGAAACAACTTACCTTAGAGAACCTCAATTTCAGTGTAGAACTTCTGACGCTTGTTTTACAACTCATCAATCCAGTCCGTCTGTTCCGATAGCTAACCTAGGAACGGCATGCTTGTGAATGTTCTGGAAAACCAGCATCATTCGCGGCCCACATAAAGTATCTCACACGGCATGATAGCTGGTTTCTGGTGGATATTTTTTTGGTAACCAGAGAAAAAGTAATCCTTCATGACATTATCAAATCGGCTACTACATAGTGTGATACGACGAAATCTGCAGGGGTCTTAAACAGATCGCAGCGTTTCTCTCGGGTTTCTTTATAACCGGTCTTGCGGCTGCTGCAAAACTCGTGCATGAAGTCCTCAAAGAAGGGCTCGCCTGGTGGTTCAATGTACACTACATTGTACATTTGGTTGGTTCTTAGTGTTGGGATCAAACGATTGATCATTATTAGTTTTCCTCGTGGTCCATTCTTAACGGAATAGATAGTGGTGTTAATTTTCTTCCACAAAGTAGAGTTTATTTCAGCTTTTTGGTTAATTTAAGGTGATTTCTTGTGATTTCGGTGTGAGTTTCTTCCAAACCTAATCAAAACTACTACTACTCGTCCGTTCTGTCACATCTTCCGACTTCTTCAGGACATTAAAAGCATATAATTCATAACAGGGAAATCTTAATACAACTTTATATCCGAGGAATACCTACCAATTTCTTCCCACGTTGGCTTGTAATCTTCTTTAATTCAATCGATGGTCGGTTGCAAACCGGGATCGTTTCCGTGCTCTTTCGTTAGGTCTGGGTCTTCCATCGACAGTCAATCACAGTAGTTTTTCCAAGTTCGACATCTTTGCCTTCTGGGCGACAACAATAGTTGAAATCTTCTGGGCAGGGCTTTCCGATAAGGCATAAGCTTAGATGTTCAACTCTTGTAGCCTCTCGTTGGAAGTAAAAAGTTCCTTCCGTTTAGGTTTTTGTAAAAATGTTCTACCGACTCAACAAGAACGAGCAAGTCCCGTGTTGGTACACAATAGTTTCGTTCGAGCTTGAACAGTGTTTTGCTGAAGTAGCCTATGACTTTATCTTGTCTGTTCTTGCATCTGACCTAAAACGATCCCCAACTTGATGGTACTTGTATCCAATAAAATATATATATATATATCGGGAAGCTTTAGGATTGGTGCTTTGGTTAAAGTGCTTAAGCCGCCGAAGGGCTTCTTGACAATTTCCATTTAAATCTGTAGTATGGTAATACAGTAAATTGCGGTAATTCCGTGCCAATGGTGAATGCTGTCTTCTCTTTGTCTTCCGCTGTCAGCTAACGTTGCCAGTAGCTACTGTTCAAGTCCAGTGTTGTGAAATTGTTCGATTCAGTCAGAGTGTCCAATAAATCATCTATTCGGGGCTAAGGGTGCGCAGTCTTTTTTCGTCACTTTCCTTTTCCACCAAGAACTTATGGACTATCAGATATAGTTCGATGATGCCGCCCTCCTATATTTCTTAGCTTCCTCCCGTTTTGCCAACTATCGTACCAGTTGCGAGCGACCAATTTGGATTTTATGTTTTACAAGGTTAGTTTTTCCTTTCAGTCCTAGTCAAATTGTTGGTTCTATGCGGCTCCTGTTTTTACTGAATGCAATATCCAAAATTCTCGGTTTAGACGGCTGTCTGTCGAACTGCAATCGATGTGATTGTCCAGTATCAGGTCACTCCGTTTTTAGGTCGAAATACCCTGGGATAATAAGCGCTTTGATTCCCGATGTAATACTATCTCCTTCGTACCATTTATTTAGTTTTTTGTTAACTAGATATCTAAGTATCACTTTTACGGTATTACCTAATATCTATTAGCTGATAATAGTTTTATGTTAACGGAACAATAAGCCTAAATTTGTGTAGGAATAGAAACTATTAAAGGTCAGATGATTAAGGGCTGTTTACAAGAGGGCTTTTATCACCGCTCCATGGTTCTAGAGAGTCCCATCTACCGCCACAATAACGCAAATGCCTACGTATTGCATACGCTGATAATTTGATCATTCTATAATCGCGCATGCTCTGTCCATGAATGTCAGAAAGGCTGAAAAGGTTCTTTTCACATGGAAAAGGAAACTAAGTCGCACCAGAGCTTCTAAGTACTAAACTAAGCTTCACCAAAAGGTAAAATACCTTGTGGTGACACTCGATAGAAAGTTAACATGGAATTGAAAATAGGATTTAAAAGGCATATATTTTTTATGAGAACTGTCGTCGGACCATAGGTAAGGCGTGACACTTCCTAGGGTTGGCACATGGATCCATACTACCATCATAAGACACATGCCAACCAACCAAAGCCCTGGAGGTAATGCTGTGTCTCACACCTCTCGATATATGTAGGAGAGGTGATTTTAACGAAACAGCAGCCAAATAATACTTGAAAAAGTCAAACATGGCCACAGGCATTTTTACGAGTCGTAGCGCTTACTGAATATCATATCCATCCTCTACGGTAATCAGGGAGACTCTTGGAGCTGTCAGCGGCTGCGTGGAGTCACTAAGCTCTGTCCACGAGGAAGCACAATGGGTCTGCTTCCTCCACATACAGATACAGATACAGTTTTATGTTGGTTAATGATGTAATCTGTGAGTTATCGAGTCAAAGTTTGTAAATAAGGTCACTGATGACATCAGACAGTGCCCGAGACTCTGTCTTTCATGTTACATTGTGCCAACTTATTTTCAGAGTTCTCGAGGTTGTCATTACCGGGTCAATGTCTATCGGAACGGCTTTATCTTTTTCATCCAATATGCAGAAAGGATTGTCTGCAGCCGCCAGAATATTTGGACTGTTTAATCGCGAACCTCTAATCAAGAGCCCTCTTAATCCGATCGATCTCAAATTGGTAAGTTCGGTTAGTATCTATTGCTGAGTTTGCTAAGGGGTTTCCATGTTCTCTCTCGAAGGGCGATGGCCATGTAGAATATTCCCGTTTATATTTTGCGTATCCGACCAGACCAACCATCCAGATACTCAACGGATTAAACTTATCCGTGCTCAAAGGAAAAACAGTGGCTCTGGTAGGCAGCAGTGGGTGCGGCAAGTCAACACTGATTCAGCTGCTTGAACGCTTCTACGATCCCACCAGTGGTGATATCGAAATCGACGATAACGATATTAAATCTGCCGATCTTAAAAGTCTCAGGTTAGGACAACGATATTCCAAAAAACTTACAGATATATATTGTTACTCACTGAATCCGATCTAGACTGGAATGGCACGGGGCACATTAGAGCAAAAAGGCTGTCGTGCGGAAAATATTGGGTAGATTACAACACCAAAAATATTTTTGCAAAAACATCTCAAATTATCTTTGTATAAAGTGCAAGGTAGTGCAAGTTGGGGTGAGAGGTATTTAATATACAAAGTGACCTACTTTGAATCTGCGAATAATTTGATAGACATTTACTGAAAACGGGGCATAGTATTGTTCTAAAAATTTGGTTGCTTAGATTTTTAAACTTACGTTTAGTCGATTTAGGATGAAGCAATGTGGTCGATTTTATCGAAAACCAGCCGATGGCACTTCCCTGACTCAATTTTGCATAGTCATTCATTGTCATTATTTCCCGGTTTAACTAGAAGCTTATAAAACAATTGGATAGATTTATTTGGCAATCTCTGAACGAATTTCTGAATGTAACTAGTTGATCTAATACAATACAATACAAACAAAAGTCTCAATGTAGATAATTTTAATTATAAAACTATTAATGAAGAGATTTCAACAAAAAAAAATAAATGGGTTGTTGTTAAGAAAAAGTTTTTAAGAGTAATAATTATTAAGGTCATTAAGGTTTGATATTCGAAAAATAATACGCAACGCAGGTAGATATTTTTCCGCTTTTGTCGCAATGTGTGGCGTGATAAACAACTGCGGGAAATTTTACAATAGGGAAAGACGTTTAAAGTCTATGTATAAAGGTATAGAGTAGTAAAACCTCATTAGATGTGCAAACAGTTAAGGCATTTTGTTATGGTTCTGTGCTGGGGTCTTCGAAGACACTTTCAAAATAGACAACAAATATATCACAGATTTTGTAAAATCGATTGAATTTATTATTTGTTTTTTACAAATTTCAATCCATTAAATTTTTTTGAAAATTCTTTCGTATATCGGTATCTCACTCAGTTCTGTTGATTGTTTTAATGGGCCGTCGAATTGGGAATACTCTTAATATCTAATGTTACCGCAGATGTCATTTGGGAATTGTATCGCAAGAGCCGAATTTGTTCGACAAGACGATAGCGGAAAATATCGCTTACGGCGACAACGAGAGGGCGGTGGAAATGCACGAAATAGAAAGTGCTGCCAAAGCAGCTAATATTCACAATTTTATCGTCAGTCTGCCATTGGTAAAATAGTAGCTAGTAATCGAATCGGTTCTTGGAACCACATAAATATTTTATTTCAGGGATACGAGACTCGATTAGGAAGCAAGGGAACCCAACTGTCCGGCGGACAGAAGCAAAGAATAGCGATTGCTAGAGCGCTTCTAAGAAATCCGAAGATTCTGCTCTTAGACGAAGCAACTTCTGCTTTGGACAACGAAAGTGAAAAGGCAAGTAACTGTGGGTTATGAATGTTCAATACCAGCAAAGATAATTCTTCATAAACTTCTTAACTTTCGAGATACAGGGTGGTATATTTTTCTGAATTTTAAAAAAATGCTATCTGGGAAACACATTTAAGATATTTTCGGTATTTTGGTAAGTGGATTCCGTACATAAGCTACTTTCAGGTACATAACACCTTATTTTATTTTTACCACTGTCCTAGTAAAAAAATATGAAGTCAATCGCCCATGAGGAAATGCAGGAAATTCTAGTTTCTGAAGTGGCGCTTGGGACGTAATTGCTATGGACATTTTTGAAATTCGATTTTCCCTAAAATTTGTAATATCAACCGTAATTAAAGTGGAAGCTAAGATAAGTTGAAAATGATTTTTGTTTAATACTTTTTGCTCAATCTCTACAAGGAAAGAGGAGGAGGAACCTTGGAGTCGTTTAAAAAGTGTTTTCTAGGCGACTCATTTATTAAATTAGTTATTTTTCAATTTGTAAGACCTACGCGGCAATGGCCGTCCCTTATTAATCCAATTTAAAAAAAAAACGTCCAGCGCCCCCGAGGAATACAGATCAGTACCAACCTGTTAGACTCTCCTGGGAGTAGCAGGACCCTGACTGGCATAGAAGTAACGTAAGTGCCAAATACGTTGGGAGTTTGATGTCAATATCGGTGACACCGAGTATCAACCGTTCTGAGTGGCGTTTTCGAGCAATCGCAAAAAAAAAAACACAAAAAATAATAAATGCAACCATATGACTCTTTTACCTCAATAGGCAGTAAAATTAGGACCCAACAACACAGTGGAAAACGTATCACAATATATTTGCGCTAATCTGTAATATGAATAAAATAACTTCAAACTAGGAAAAAATCATTTTGTGAAGCATTTCAACTTTATATATATATATATATATATATATATATATATATATATATATATATATATATATATATATATATATATATAATAAATATAACCAAGATAAGCAGAAACAAAATTAGACTTTTGAGTGTTAAGTTTTTTTATTCTTTTTTAGGTAGGACAAAAATCTTGAGGTTTTCAGTTGTGTCATATTGTTGCTTTTTTTTTTTCAGAAAATTGTTTTTTTGCGATTATGTCAGAAAACGCTACCTCACTCACGACTTTTTTAATGACTCCTTGCGTATTAAAATGCCTTATTCCTTTTTGGATTTATCGAAATTTATATCTGAAAATGTTCAAACACTCTCTCCACTTTCCTTGCAAGAGATAAGGCAAACGGAATTTTTAAAAAATTGAATTTGTAGAAATCGAGTTTTAAAAATCATGGTTACCCGTTACGTCATTTCAAAACCTGGGAAATAATTTTCAGTATTTTCTCTTAGCCTTTTTACTTAGTTTTTTTAATTTCTAGGACTGTCCGTTTCCCCAATACCGTAACTCGATGCTATCTCATCCCATATTTTTTTAGTTGAATTTTAAGTCGCTTATTGCGTTTCCTTGTCAGATACCCTCTTCTAGTTTACAATAATTAAATTAAAAGTACTACATTTCGCAACACTAATAAATAAGACCATACTTCCTCAGCAACTTCGTGTGAATGGTTTAAATTTATAATTTTTTAGTACTAATATTAGGTAATTAAATTATTATAAAAATTTCTGGAAAATAGCCACTTAACCCAAATGCTCCCGCCCGTCTTCTTATTACGTATTAGGATTTTAAGTCGAAATAAATCGTCCGGATTCGTCAAACTCTACGATGCAATTAATCAAGTCACTCCGTTAAAAGTGAGCGGAATTTAATTTTTTTTTCGTACAAATGACAAAGTTACTAACTATTTATCCAAACATTTACATTCGTTGATTATACATACGCGATAGAGGTGGAACGTTCGTGTCGGATTGCCAAGAAAGGGCGTCTGTGATTTCAGTTCTTGACACTCAGACGAGGCTGGGCTCAGCCTATTTGACTAGCTCATCACAGTATTGAATTGCGCTATTGTTCGAATATTCCAGGTGTATTCCAAATGGTTTCAAACCAAACTGTGTTAAAATAGTCTTAAGAGTAACACTTTTAAGGTGGTCCCATAAAAAGAAATCTAAATTAACGAGATACCTATTAGAAAATATTATAGTCTAGCATTGGACATATTTTGGAGAAATCTGCTGTAAAAATGCGCCATCCAGACTTGCCTATCTGCCAGAGGCCATGCGGGCTGTTGAAAACCCCAAGTTTATTAGCATTAGGCAGGGCCTCTGCATCTCTAGCTATATACACCGAAATGGGTAGGAGCTCAGTTACGCATGTATCAGATTTGTAATATATTGCAGGGTAATTAGATTTGTACCTCCAAAAATCATTTATCAGTACAATGAAATGTAGCACCTCAATTATTTTAAAATCCTTAAAGTGGAATTGAGAAAAGAAAAAACAATGTTCAAGGGACCAAATAACTAGGCGTTAAACCGGAGTCCTAAAGGTTAAACTTGAGACAGTGGATGAAAGCAAATAAACAGCATGTAAACTCGCCCGGGTTAAAACTTCCCTTTAATTATTTTCATCAAGAACGCATCCGACAAGAAAAACGCAAGAAGTAACTTTTATGCTGAAATGGCTAGATTATCCTGTGAAAATTCTCCTAAAAAAATGTCTGCGGCGTACTTTAAAAATATGCGATATAAATTTCAAACCAAGGCTAAAAAACGTTTGTGCACTTGAAAATGTCTATTGACAGATAAGATAAAAAGAGAGTTCCCTGAAAATTTTGTGGATTTTTTTTTTCTTAAATTAGGCCCAAGAATTTATCGACTTTAGTTTTGACGCATCATTGAGGAACACTCTGTATATTAAAAATGCCGTTTACAGGTAGTACAGCAAGCTTTGGATAACGCAAGAAAGGGGCGCACGTGTATAACAATAGCGCACCGTCTAACAACCGTTCAAGATGCCGATTTGATATGCGTATTGAAAGATGGAATCGTATCTGAAATGGGGACTCATACTGAACTCTTGTCTCGACAAGGACTGTATTATGAATACTATAAGCTACAATCTGGCCAGTTTTAAGGATCATTCCTTCGTTCTTTCACAAATTGCGTAGGTCTCAAATTTTTGCTTGTTAATAAATAATTCATAAGTTGAATAAAAAAGTTGCATAGTTTCATCCAAATTTTTCCCTGTAAATACCAGCGTCCTTACTTTAAATAGAACACCCTGTATATTATTGCCATTTTTGGATTTCTCGGGAAATTCTCGATCTATTCTGTGTCCTATATCTAAAAACTTCTGGATTCCTCCTGCGCCGGTTGTTGATGAATCGAACTTGCTAACGTTTCGCCAATCATCCTGTTGGCTCCTTCAGGGCTTTACTGAAACTGACTGAAAGTTAAACTCTGAAGAAGACGCAGGAGGAATTTAGAAGTTTCGTAAATGATATTACAGTAGCCTGTGGAAATTCCTAAAATTAATTAACAATTTTTCATATAATTGTTGATAAATAATAAATATTTTTTTTATTTATACGAGGGGTGAAATATCTCTTCGTGTGCCACTCAGCTCACTCAATTCTATGATGTGTTGGTTGGTACCGGAAGAAAACTCGTTGTTAAACGCGGTGGTATATTGTATTCATTACGATGCATAGTTGTTAGTTCGACCCTTGCGAGTTCAGTGCCCACACAAGTACACTATCAATCTGGCACAATCTTCTTGGCAGTGGCGAGGCAAGACCTAAATTTGATGTGGGCAAGACAGATTTCGCGAGGCCCTGTTCTATGGCGACCTGAAGATGGATTTTATAAAATAATAAAAGGAAACAAAACAATTAACACTGCCCAGTTTTTATTCATAATAATACAAATAAGATTAATATTAATGAAAAATTACATATGATTCCAATAGTACTGACGATGATGCTGCCAGTGATATTTATGTAATCAGGACAGCAGTCAGGACAGCAGTCAGGACATCATTTAACATTTTAAATATTTTCTTCATGCTGTATAAGGTACCAATATAGGGGTCAATGATCTATGGTAAAATGTCATGTTAACATGTTTTAAAATATTGACAGTTTCTAATTTCTTGATCCAGTGATTATTTTTAAAGCGATTGCGTAATTGCGCCAAAAAATAATGTTCGTTACTTTAAACCGTGTTGTTGCTTAATTTTGTGTCTGATTATGGCTGAATTTGTTTGTTTTGCTGATCCAGACTCCCATGTTCTTCCAATATCTCTATCTAGGCCGGACATGTCGATAACGGCATATCTATAACCTATCGACACAAAAGTCGATACGTTTTTTACCCTTAAAGCTTTGGTTTCCTTCAAAAGATATTATAAAGCGTATAATTTTATATACAAGTAATTACTGCGTTATTTACTTATTACCAATTAAATTTTTCTTACCTTATGTAAAATAGACGAGTACGGGTACCGGCGTGTTGCACATCACAAAGAAAACAAAAACCATTTAATAAGTCACTGTTTTTTAATTTTGTGGGTCAGTTTACAGGAGCAATCAATATACTTACACATTATCTATTTATTCACTAAATATTATTAAAACATTGAACACACTGTTCTTATCAAAATAGGTACGTACAGTAATAAAAATTGAATTGAATTGAAATATTGAATAACACAATTACGTTTCTATTGTTATGCGCCTAGCGACTGCGTTGCGTACTTTGATTTGATTGGTTGGCTTCCTAGTAAAGAAAGTAAACAAATAAATTCCCCGCAATGGTCGGCGGCAATGTTGCCAGACTAAGAATTTATATTTATATTTCACAACAAAATTAATTTATATATTTTTTTATTTTATTCTCGCTTTAAAGCAATGCTTAAAAAATTTTGAGGCGCGAGGCCCCTTGTACCCCGAGGCCGTAGGCGGTGGTCCACGTCGCCCACGCCTTACGCCGCCTCTGCTTCTTGGTAGGCTAGAGAAGCAAGTCCCTTTACTCTGACCCAATTCTACGCAATAAGCGTAACCCTCCGTTAGCGTGTTTCTTCACTTTTTGTTACAAATATACTTGTATGTTTCTTAATCCACTACAAGGTGGTACTATATCCACGACAGGGGCCTATTTTGGATGTAAATTAATACAGGGTGAGCAAAAATGAAGCAGAAAAATTAAATTATAAAACACACAAAAAGTCAACTTTTTAAATGGAAACCAATATTTTTATAATTTTATCCGATTTGGCATTAAACATTTGGGTGACTTTGTATAAGAAAATTAATTGTTTTCGAAATAATATGATATTGCTATGTAATATACAATATTGCATTTTGAGAATTTTCGCGGAAGATTCTGGCCATATTTCAGGTATATACCGTTATACCAGAAGTCAACAAATCTTAGATTTAATGTCAAAAATGACGTTTGCAAGCCCTACGATAATTACCAACTTTTCCTATAAGGGAAACAGCCGTATAGCAATATTGCCATATATTAACAATTTTTCCCTAAGCTAGTTTTTTAAATTAGAATTGAATTTTAACGATTTGAGAAATCAAAAGTCAACTAAAACGAACAATGAACAGGTTCTAAATATTTTAATATCATCTATGGATAATATATATACTTCTAGTCAGTCATCAGTAAGAAAATTTTTGGCAAAAAATAGATATGAGCCATACAAAGTACACCTCCTTCAGAAATAGTGTGAAGATGATCCAGATCGGCAAATGGCATTTTTTGCTCGTCTTATGGATGAATCAATTTTAAAGCCGAATTTCCCAAATTATATCATTTTTCAGATGAGGGGACTTTTTGTTTGAATGACTTCCTGAATCTACATAATTATGATATTCGTCAAAAGAAAATCTCCATTGGTTGGTAGAACATCGTACTAAGCTTAAATATATGTGTTGAAATAATTGGTGGAAATATTACATGGCCTTTCTTTTCCAATGGCATTCTAACCGTTAAAAAAAAAGAAGTTATCTCCCAATTAGCTTTGCTTTATCCGAACATCATAAATGGCGAAATAGATGAAATGATAACCGCATATAGTTTCAACAAGATGAGACATCTCCCCATTATACACAAAATATAAGAGAATACCGGAATCAAATGTTTCTAAATCAGTGAATCGGACGAAGACGGGCTATTAAGTGGTCGCCTCGTTCACTAGATTTAAATCCCCTATGTTTTAAGAATAAGAGCGTATAAGAGCTGAAATTTGAGCTATAATACCGAATGCTCGACAAAGCACCATACGGAAATTTACAGACCGTTTAAGACATTGTCAAGTACCAGAATGACTACAGTTTGAGCATTTATTAAAATAAGTACTTTTTCTTTGTTGTTACATAGTTTTCATTGTATTTAAGTTTATCAGTTGTTAAAAATCAGTAATTACTTCGCTTATAAATTAAATTCTTGCGTATTGATTAAATCATTAATTATTTTCATTTGCATTGAATTTCAGTTGAATTTGGGTATAGAGTATTTGACATGAAAAATACTTAGGATTTTTTGACCAACCTAAAAATGGTATAAAAACATAATAAGTTTAGGAGCTTAGGAAAAAACGACAAATGTACACTAAATTTCATAAAATTAAGTCTTATAATTTCGGAGAGCCGTTGCGCAATTTTTGACTAACCCTGTATAATATATTGCAATATTGCTCCTACGGCTGTTAAGTTTTGCTATAATTTTGCTCCTTGATAGGAAAAGTTGTTAAAAGTTGTTAACTATTAGAACCTGCATTTTGACATTAAATTCAAGAATTGTCGAAGATTTAGACATACTGGTAGAGTCTTCTATTTAATATAAGAAGACTGGTATTTCCCTAGATGAACTAAACATCCTGTAATGTGAAAAATTAAAATGAAAAAAATTCAAACGAAACTATGCAACTTTTCTATTTTACTTTTTTTATTCATAGTTTTCTGAGTCAAGGGGCTAGGGAACCTATTTCGGACACCCTGCATTCTATATTTGTTAAATACACACAATGCAATACGCTTACAAATTGTTTGTATTAGACCCTAGTGTATCAAGCATAGTTAGAAGATAACCAAAGTTTAGCAAGAAGAAATTGTGCCATTTTGGGTTAGCAGGTAAGCATCGGTTCTGCTAAATTTCGAAATGTTAACCTATACCTAGCTTTCTAACCTACACATCAATCATAAATCAATGCATCTTCAATTTGCAGAAAGCCATTTTCTATTTTCAACTAAAAACTTGGTTTTTCTATGTTGCTTAAGGCAACTGCTATTCATGGCTATTTATGCTCAAGTCTCAATCATTTGACATCCTAAATAATAAATTGTTACACAAAATTCAACGTTTCTCTAGTATCAATTTGTTTTATTGATATTATGGGCTCTAATTTGTCTTAAAACATCATAATATCTTTGCATTTATTTTTTGTTTTACTTTTTACACGTTGATGCTTACGTAACTGGGTATTTAAGAGTAGAGAGTAAAAAAATGCATTCTTAAATCAATTAACCAAGCAAACTCCTTTGGGATAATATAGGAACAACTAAAACGCTACCAGTGGCAAATCCAAACTTTATTTTCAAATTTGCCAACACGGAGTTTATAACGAATCAATAACACAGATAAAAATTAGATTTTATAATTTACACTTTATGTCGGTTGACTCTTTTATTTGAGGTCATCTGCATAGGGTACGTGTGACAGATTGCCGACGGATGCAAAAGTAAGTTTGCGTCCTGCTTTTTGCGCGACCTGAAAAACAAAAAAACACATTTAAAATTGCGCTTGTTGCGCAATTACATTTCCAAAAAATGCTACAGTTTCCGTTTTTGAGATAGGGGGTCTTTTGATAATTTTGCATTTTAAGGTATCTATCTGATAACTAAAACTAAAAAAAAAACTAATCACTATACGAGTCATATCAAAAAGTTATTGAAACCTAACTTTATTGAAACCTAACTTTTTCGTATTTAAATATTTTAAATGTTTAAAGTGCGCTATTTTTTATTTGAATTGAAAATGAATTGAATAATTTCGCTTAGACAGTTCGAAAATATTTAACTCTAGGACTTTCCCATTTGAAATGCATTGTCTATGCTACCCACACTGTATTCTTAGTATGACTTGAACTATAGGAACACTTTACGTTGGAAACGTCAGTAGTGGTGATCGAGTCGATTTCGGCAGCTATCTGCACAGGTGATAGTGCGCCACCCGTGAGTGCAGCTTGCGATCCTATTAACTGGACGGCTTTGGAACCATTCTCGAAGTCTGATAGGACCGCCGCCTTCAATTGGGCCTTGCCGCGGTTAACGTCTGCGTCGGTCAACTTTGGATTCTTCAATACTTTCACGGCGCCCTCTACGACTTTGCCCGCGGAGGCGGCGGGTGCGACCAGCAGGACTCCGACCAGTCCCGTGTCAGAGTAATTGGCGTTTATCGCTGACGAGGCGAAATCGCCGCACGCGTCGACGCTTCGGCTGAGCAGACCGTTGTCTCTTACACCCCATTTTATCTAAACGTTAAATTACACTCGAGGTGGTTTATTTTCCTAATTTTGGCGCGTCAAAAATATTTTTAAATCGAAATGTCCTTACAGCACTTCAATGATGAAATATTCATACAATCTAGAGTGGAATATTGATAATATATATAAAGAATGTAATGTATGGCCTGTTTATTAAGGGATGCATACATATATAATAAGGAGAGATAGCACTGTTTTAGTTTTAACGGGATGCCAATATCTTGACGAGCTGAGATAATGTTGCCAATGCTGGGGACATTGTCTTTGTTTCTTACTTCAAAGAATATTTTCATGTATTCAAAAGCATAAGTAAATTAGAAATTTCACGCAATGTACATTAACAAAATATCTTGCTGTTTCTTATATATTTGGTTTCGATACTTTAGTGATCTGTGTTAATTAACGTTTTTTCATCGTTAAAATCGAGAAAATACTAACAGTAAATAAAACAAATTAACTTGATTGACTATCTGGCTATTTTTCAGGGAATGTCTAAATGTTTCTCATAAAATTTAGTCCATTTTTAGACATTAAATCTATATAACAAAAATCCAATTTTAAAAACCAACAATACGACAAAGTCGCCATTTTTTTAAATGCCAAATAGGTTAAAATTATACAAGCAGGATGTTTCCATTTGAAAAAAAATCATCTTTTTAAAATTTTAATGTAACTTTTTTGCCACCCAGTCTACCTATATTTATTTTTAAAATACCAACACACACCACTAAAAGTAGATCCAGGGACTTTATATACAGGTTCTATTTAGAATAGGAAAGTTATTATTCGTCAATGAAAATTTAACACCCTGTAGATATAAAGTATAAGTGAATCCAAACAACTTTTGTCTTAAAGTATTTTTGATAACTTTTGCATATTCTGATATAATAAACCGGCCTACATACATGTCTATACAGGAAGACATAAAGACATCCATGAGAGTTTATTCTATCGAAAAAATTTATTGACTTGTTGCATGCAAATTCCTAATCTTAAATCTATATTATTTAATTGCTGCATTTCTTTATTTTATAGCAGGTTTCTTCTGGTTACCTTATACCTATTTCAATAGCATTTAAGTATTCTTGTTTTTTTTTTTTGTTATTTCTTATGTTCAATCAAACCTTAAAGTTATTTTTAGTTAGTCGGTAAATTTTGATCAAGTTTGATAAGTCCTTGGTTTTAATTACTTTAAAAGAGTTAAGGAACTCTGGAACTGGCCATCCAGATCACCTGATTCGTAGCCCTTGAATTTTCCATTATATTACTGTACAAAGGAACTAGTGTACTCTTTCTAAGCCTATACAAAATAGAGTTTCTATCATCACAAAACCTTGCTGAAAAATTTAATATTGGCAAAACACGTGGTAGTTAGAATACAAAATTGTTTCTAAAAAATTGGTTTTCAGAAAAATGCTACTAAACAATTATTGTACATCGATTCATGCATTAGTTAAAAAGGGAAAGAAATTAATATAACACAAAAAAATCTGTAATTATAAAAAAAATATTTTCAAATTGACGATATTGCGGCCAAGGAGGATGTAGCTTTAAACATTGACGATAAAATTCCCGTTGAAAGGAGAAACAATTGAGGAAAGAATATTACTTTGCGTAGTGTAAGCGTGTTGCATCTCGTTAAGGGTTTGCAATATTTGAGTGTTATTTAGTCTTCTGCTATGGCCCTATTCAGTTTTAAGTAATAAATCCATTCCATTTATTAATAAATAGTGTTGCTTAAAACTGAACAGTTTCTGTTTGAGAGTTATAAATAATAAACTTTGGCAATTTAAAAGGGAATGAGTTAATTGCAAGTTAATAGTAGTAAAAAACATAAATAGAAAATTAAACAAACATTTTTTTAGCTCCTACCTGAGGACCAACTCCAAGGGCTCTCTGGAAAACAGCTGCGGCAACTGCTTCTTTGGTGTTTTTAAGAGATGCACCTTCACCCGCAATAGCGACATAGGCAAACTCTCCACCTTTATCCGACCTGATCACAAAACATAGTATTAAAACCGAGAAATTGAAGAAAGCATAATAAATTAATTTTTAACAAACCTAACTTCTCCGCCTTTGTATGGCGAGGCTACAGTGGTACCATCTCCAGTTTCCACATTTAGTGACTGGGCCAACTCCAAGGTTTTAGAACTACTGAATCCTAAACCTACAACTGCCGCCCTTCCAGAAACAAAGTTACTCGCCACATAATGTTGGAGAGTTTCTGTTGAAATTTTACCAATGTTGAATTTAGGAATGAAAAGAGAGTTGCCTAGGCCAGTGCGAAATGCTGCTTTATGGAGCAAATCGATTGCCCTTAGCTAAAATATACAACAGTCAACAAACATTTTTAATTTTACTAACATCTTGACACTAATTATATTCAATCGATCTAATATTTAAATAACTTACTTGTAGTGGCCGAACGGCAATATCCAACTTAAGACGATGTGATAAATCAGACACTTCCCAAAATTTAAACACTTGTTGAGTTGCAACTTCAGTAAGAAAAGGCAACACTGCCTCCACAGCTTGCCTTAAACCTTCTAAGGTATAAGTGATTGTTTCACGATCAGAGGTTGCAGTTAAACTCGCTCCAACTTGTTGGATGTGGCGAGTAATAGCAAATTGAGTTGCATTTCGTGTCGATAATCCGGCACTGGATCGTAATACATGCGAGACGCCTAAATTATCAGCGGTCTCATTGCGAGCTCCTGCCCTACAAAACCAAATAAACTCCAATTGACAAGCGGCTAGTAACTCACCTGAAAATGATTGAGACTCTAGCGATGGCGGAATCGTTTTCACCTGAAACTACGACCACCCTATTTGGCAATACGGTGGACTTTAGATCGTAATTAATTACTCCCCCAATCGGAGCTAGTTGGGTGTAACCTCTTGCCTGAAATATAATTTAAATAAATAATAAGTAAAACAGCCGATATTACAGTTACAATTCGAAATAGTGGTCCTTTTGAAATTTGTGATGCCATCTTCCGAAACTAGAGCTATTATTATATAATGCTTTAAATGACCAAGAAAATTTTAAATACTTCTCACCATGGACTATTGGATTCACACTTTATTGGTAAATCAATTTAAACTAAGCATTGATAAAACGAATAGTCGGTTGAGTGCCCATGAGTGGTGCGCAAGCTAAGGTTAATCTATTCATTGTATTTACGCACCTTGGGTCTTTAAAATAAAAGGAGTAAATCATGTTCCCGATATTGCGTTACAGTCATTTACATTTATCTCAATTATTAATAAATGTGTTATCAAAATGACATGATAAAGGTGCATGCTCTAAGTTTTAACTTAGCAATAAAAAAGTACGTTTCTCCACAATTGCAAATATTTGAAAAACAATGCCAAACAGACATCAAAATGAAGTAGTAAAAATAACGACCTCATCATACAAAACGCTGATAAGACAGTCTTTAAAGTTACGAAAATACGGATTAGGAAAGGATTGATCGGGCGTGTGTTGTGTGATGCATCGAGTCCCGCTCAATGATTTGGTATTAGTTACATTACTATATAATATAAATTTAATAGAATAAATTAATTGATTCGCCCAGTCAAATAACGCAAGTAACTTTTCTTAATTTTGCAAATGTAGTTCGTAATGGGCGAGTATCATTTGTTGATTTGCCCAGCATAGTGAAAAAAGTAATAACAAAGTAAGCTATCCGTGACTCTTACGTTAACCTTATAACTGATTTGAATTGTATTGTGGTTTTGCGGTTCTGCACCTGAAATACTGTCGGTATATGATTCCTGACACATTATTCTGTTTTGATAAGTTTAAAAACATGCACGTTGATGTTTGTGTTTATTTAGGTGTTGATTAGCTTTGCTCTGGAATGAGAAGGCAAGTATCATTTCCATTTAAACTCGATTTCAGAAGTTGTTTCCTTGTAGATTACGCAAAACAAAGGTTTTTTTTCTCTTTTGTGCTTGTCTGACATGTGTAGTGTCTGTACTCTATGGTGAATATTTGGTTTACTATCTAAATTCTACAAAATGGCTTCCAGTCAGTTGCAAAAACCAGCAGGAATGTGTGAGGATATTATTTGTAGCTGATCCTCAGATTATTGGTAATTGGAATGAAGTGTTTCATCCCATCACGCCTTTCAGTATTTATGATAGTGACAGGTAAGCTATCCTTAAGGTTTTTCAGTTTTAATGGCGAAACTGAATTCACTTTTAAATAGATTTTGTCTCAAACATATATATAATTTACACATTTAAAATCACTATTGTTCTTTAAGGTATCTAAAAAAGACTTTCAAGTATGCCCAGGCCTTTGTCAAACCAGATGTTATTGCATTTTTGGGTGACTTGATGGATGAGGCCCATATAGCAAGTGATGAAGATTTCTACAGCTACATTCGAAGAATATTTAACATATTTCTAGATGGTTCTGATCTTTCAAAAAATGTCAAGGTAATATGCCATTTTAGTTGTGGTGGCGGTAATGATAGGAACCAATTCACGCATAATCAAAAGGCCATGAAACGTAAAAGTATGAGTTATCACATGAAGGATATATATCTGGTTGCATGGCCTTCATATTATCAAATATATTATTTTCATATCTAAAATATAGTACCAATATGTAGAATAGGTAAAAATGGTCTAGCAATTCACAGAGAGGTGGTGCATAGATATTTAAAAAAATATATTTTGTTTTTAAGTGAATCATGTGAAGAACATATTTGTAATTTATAATAGTAATATAAAATTTATCATTATATTTTTCAATGTTATCCCTTAGTAAAATAATTAGAATTCAATTTCATGGGGTTGAAATTGAAGCTTACATATCCTGAAATGAATAAGAATTGAATTTTTAACTTGGAAGCCCATTAAAGATCCCACTTATCGAAAACTATTTCAGTAAGACTTACCTTTGTGTTTTACTTTGAACAAATAATTTTTTTTTTTCATCGTCTTAATACATTTTTTCCTCAAAGGTTTCTGTTTGTGTTAATGTGAAAATTGTAATTTTTGGAACTGGGCAAGGGTTTACCATAATTATTTCAAAATAAGATTGTAACATTCAAAACATAAGTTTTTAGAATTATGATATTGTTAATTTATTATATTATCTCACACACATAAAAGATTATGTAAATACTAATTCTGAGACTAGGAACAAGGACTAAACTATTCACACCTTTTTACTAATACTGTTCTTTTTAATTTTTCGCTTTTTCAGTATCAAATAATTAGACCAAAACACACGTATAGCCCTGTGGCGACCACCATTAATTCTTCTTTTTGTGACAACTCACACTGACTGTTTACAGTCTGTATTTTTCTCGTAGTGTTCTAGAGGTCACGTTGATTCGCATGCGCACTTTAGAAAATGGCATTAGCGAAGCATAATGGCTTAAATTTAGTTAGCTGTGATTTTCTATTGACTGATACTAACTATATGCTCTAATGATAAAAATTATGTAAATGAAATAAGTGTAAAAATTTTTAACTCATCATCATGATCTTATAATTGGTAAATAGTATAGATCTACTTCCGCAACATCTTACTGTTTCCGAATTAGTTCCTAATCCATACCGTCAACATTAATTTTATTACAATGCAGCTCCTGAAAAAAGAAACTTTTAGCACATCTGGATTCCGGGTGACAATGACATTGGTGGGGAGGACACAAAAGTGACCCCAAAAAAATTGCAAAGATTTGAGCGAGCTTTTTCGCAGCCAAGCATAACAGTTGTTAAAAATGTAACTTTTTTTAAAATCAATCGGTTGACATCCATAATTCCAGTTTACAAAAAGGAAAGGGACTTTTATAATGTCCGCGAAATTTTTGTTGGTCTGAGTCATGTGCCTTTGATGTTTAAACCGTCTCCCTTTGTCGATAAAGTGAGTATTATTAGACATTACTATATGATTTATTGTCAAGTGCCGTCACGCAGATTTATTAAATATGTTATTTGATGACATTACTCTAACCTTCAGGCGCGTCTGTGGAGGGGGGGATAAAAACAAGGGTAGGGGAGAAAAAGATGTAGAAAGAGAAAGAGAGAGAAGCTTTGCTGTAATTATTTATTAAATTTTGAATGAGTGAATGAAGTGGGCACAATCAGGGTTCTTTTGTAATATAGCAAATGAATTTTTTTGAAGATGTCCGGAATAAAGGCACCAATGAAAATACATTTCATTTATTTTTTTAAGAATATTTGAGGAATTTGAAATTCTATAATGAAGCGGTAACAACTAGAACCAATGTTCCCTTACCTCCCACTGAATGCATGTTACTAATTATGTATATGGCTTCACACCGAAAATGTAGGAACATTTTAGGAACTTGAACTTTTTTATTCATTTTTTTTTTCTATTTTAGATCCACTGTATAATAATATGTAACATGTAACACTGTATGATAACACACAGTATTAGGTTTGTAATATGATAAAAATAATATTTAATGGTGTCTCAATTACCTAAGTATTAATATTTGTTTTAAAGGAAGCACTCTGGGACCTATAGTCTTATTCCACAAAGGTGTGGAGTAATATAACCTCATTAGGCATGCAAATGGGCTATAGAGTGACCCAACGAATACTTAAGCAAATTGGATCAATTTTTGCGTTTTGCTTATCCGGTAGCGGACTCGTAAAAAGGAAAAAACTTTATTTTAATTAGAATAAGAAATGTGCATTATCTACAGGGTACTTGTTTCTATTTTGCACAATACCTACAGCTTAATGTTGAAAAAATTTAAATTCAAAAAATGTAGTTTGGTAATTATAGCTTATTTTCAATTTTCAAGAATATAATATATAATCTTTAGACGTTTTTCCAATTTTAAGTGAAATGACTAAAACTTAAATAAAATTTGTATAGCGTTCGATTCCCGTAACATTCATTTATTTATTACTGTTAATTAACTATAAACTTATTAAGAACTTATTTATTGTCACGATGGCGTATTCAGAAGAAGAAAAAGCTAATATTGTCATATTTGCAAATAAATGAATATAAACGGGCCTGTAGACTTAAATTCGATGCAATTTTTTAAAAATAAAATATAAAACATTTTATTTAATTACAACCGATGACCAATACAGGAGTCTAGGGGTGTGGAAGCTGGATAAGGTATTACGGTTGGAACAATATAAACTTATGCATAGAATTTTAAATAAAACTCAAAAAACATTTAAAAATAATTCACTGTAGAAATATCCACGCACACCATCCCAAGACACAAAATTATATTTTTATTTACTTTATTACTTATATTACTATTTATCAGGTTCCAACACATATAATCAACTTCCTGATTTGTATAGCGACTAAAATCATTTGTCTTAAATTGTTTATACCAGAAAGCCTTATATTAGATTAGAGATATAGATTAAGTCATGCTCTTAAAATCAGGAAGACTATGCCATCTTGATAGATTTGCAACTAAGTTTTTTCTATTCTATAATTACCAAGATAAATACTCCTCATTTTCTGTATTTGGTATTTAGTTTTTTTTTATAACTCTTCAAGATTTGATTGTACGCATGATGCAAAATATAAGCAAACAGCTGTGTATTATATATTAAATATTATACAAGTTTTCTAGTTATCAACGGAATACTGTCATCTTGTTCCAGTTCCATCAATATCTTATCTATATCTACACTTTTGATGTCCTTATCAAGGACTTTTGCTGGTCTGCCTAGAGTTTTCTTGGGACGGTCCACTTGACCTGCTCGCATTCTTTCCAACTCCAGTCATGCAGGAACATCAGATGGTAGTTCCATGTAATGTAATGTAAATTTACAATGACATGGCTCATTAAACAGGGTGGTCAACTTAAATGTTATATTGTTAAGTTCAGATAAAGTGCCATGATAGTTTCGGATAAATTCCCTATCTCTATCAGTTTTTGAGACCTACACCCCTCGAATCGTTTCTAAATTAGAGTGACACCAATTTGCATACAATAGAATAATGAATTTAACAATAATTATACACGATTATAATTATGGGGATGGGCAGATTATTGAGACATTAATTATTCCAGGATCAAGCAAATAAAAACCTATATAGCAAGAATAATAAATCTACCATTTGCAATACAATTTTATTTGTAAATTTTAGTCATCATGTTCCGAGTAGTCATGCTGAACTATAGTCGTTGGAGTCCAGAGAAACAATAAGGGTCTCTACAGTGTTTTCTAGCAGGTTCTCAGTTTCATATTTCAACATATTCGACGCACTTACTCTATTTTTCATAATCCGCGGTCTTTAATATCTCTTGGAAGAGGGTTTCAGCTTCCCTCATTTTAAAAGAGGTGTCTCTATTCATTTTCTATTAAAAGTGATTTTGTTTTGAGTTTTTTTGTGGGGAAAATTAATTTTCTTCAGAGTTTTCCACAATATCTTCGTTGGTGCAAGGTAGACATTTCTTTGCTTAAGTAAAACAAGTGTATTATTTTTCTGATGAAAGTATTTTCATCTTCATTTACTACAGTTTATTTTCTTCCTGTACTTCTCTTTGGCGATTGGGCCGCGAATTGCTTTGAACTCATCGACAATAAATAATTTTCTCATTTTTGGAAAGCGGAGTTTTACTAATCCGTTTTTCAGCAATAAATTCAGAGACACTAGCCATTTTCTAGAACGAACTTTTCCAACGACTGCTGGAAAGTAACTATAATTCTAATTTTAAACATTAGACGATAGGTAGGTCAACTACATGTTGTATATGTGCCACTCCCGGGACTATTGACAATCATCATGGACATGCCCATGGAATAGCTAAAATCACTAAGTTTTACAGTTCATTAATACTTTATAACTCTCTCCCATTAAGTAACAGAACATTGTAAATAATGGTGGGTTATTGTCTACGGCCGTATTATGGGCTCCGAAACCACAAAACACAGTCGCTCTACATCTTAAAGTAAAATATGGCTATAGGAAAAAGCACTGCTTAGAGTTAGTTAATATTTTAATGTCAACGAATTTCATAGGTAATCAACAAAATGTTGCCTCACGTTTTGTTCACCGCTCACGAACACAAATCAATGATAATCAAAACGGACGCTTTACTCCGACAGGACTTTCACATTACGCCGGTAACTCCAGAAAATACGAAGATTTTCCAATTTACCCTAGGGTCGACTGATATGTACGAAATTATGGTGCCGACATGTTCTTACCGGATGGGCACCACAAAAATCGGCTTCGGCTATGCTGCAATCGGTGAGTGTTTAAATTTACGTTTGGAACAAATCGAGTCGGTTTCTTTTTGCAGAACGCAACGAATTGAAATTTACAATACTGTGGTCCCCATCTCGTTTTGAGGTGCTCGCCGTTTATCTATTTCTATTCATATTTTTTACGCTGGCTGCGTTTTGCATTAAATGCTGCCCTAAAATCTAATCGCTTCTTGTTGCAATAAATCAAGATTTGTATATTTTTCAATTTCACTGTAAAATAATAAAAATACTTCAAAAAAGCCTATTGAATATTTATTTTAAAACATATAATCCAGAAATGTAGAAATTGTTAAAAAGGTATGGCGCCATATATTCATTTTAATCACAGTTTACAGACTACTTACTACTACTATTTACAGACACTACTGTGAGATTCCTTCATATATAGGATATCTGATAAGTATTTCATAACACAGAACTTCTTTAGTTTAATTTAAACTTCGTGGTACTTTCCTTAAGTTTCACTGTTTGTATTAAACAATTTCTTAGACATCTTGATTAATTCAAATTCAAAAAATTTAAAAGATGTGTAATGTTTAGTAATAGCGAGTTTGAAAAACGAAAAGATCGTCCTTTCGAAATCGGTATTGAGAATTATGTCTTACATTTTCAAAGGTTTTATTTTTTAAATTTAATTCTATATCGATTGAGTTTTCCTGTAACTATATTCCAGAGTTATCTTGCTATTTGACATGTTTTTGGTTTTATTTACGCCAATGTAAAGTGCAGTTTTGACTTTGGAACGTAATAACTAAAGAAACTTGCAACACATTAAGCAACAATACGGTAAACGAAACCGTTACAGTTAAATTAATAAGAGTTAAACTAAAAGTGCGTTTTTAAAATTCTTCAAGGAAAACATTAAGGAATCTACCATGAAATCCAAAAACGATATAGTATACCGAGATACTCTGTACATTAGAAAGTACAACACACAAATACAACTTTTGTTTTCAAAAATTTTCGATAAAATAAACTCGTAAAGAGATATAGTCGGTGCGATTAGTGACAGCATAAAATAGGTTGTTCATCTTGCTTCCACTTATCAACGTATGTTGTTCTGCCCTAAATGTCGATCTGATCAATGCAAGACAGCCGTCACAAACGATCACCATTATTACTTGGGAGTAAGAGAAACAGAATCAATGTACTGGCATTTATTAATTTAACTAGTACGCCAATACTCAGAGATGGGTTAATGTATTTTCTATATAATAGATCAGGGTGATATGCGAATATTTAAGTAGGTGAATCTACATGAAATTATTATAACGGCAATCCTAACACTTGATGACCCAATTCAATAATTATTTCGTCTGTAGTATATGGCAAGTTTGTTTTGTAATTTTTGACCATTTTAAACAACTCGTATATTATATACCATTTTCTGGGTAATTTATCCACTTACTGTGAAGCCAATTGATAATTTCCTCTTTTCTTGTCGATGCATTTGGTACACTTTCACTAAGTCTAGAATAATATCGTGCATTATCCATAATAATTAAGGACGGCCTTTAAAGTTTCGGCAGAAGTTTTTCAAAAATACCGTTTTGTTTCCCATAATTGGTGCTATCTCTGTCGAGTGTAAGACACCGGGGCGTAATAGACAGAAATAGAACAGTTCCTGGTAAATGAGTGGGTTTTGCCATTAGTAGTAGTAGTAGTACTGGAAGCAGGTAAAATACTGAGACATCTTCTCGTTTGGTTTTATGACCGACTATGCCATCGCAAATCCTACCGACTATATAAAGGAATGTTCAGTAGTAAACCAGCCTGCATAACCTGAATCATTCCAGGTCAAGTCCGCCGTTACCTACCTTCATTTCCACAGTGCTGTTGCCTCATCTGATGCATGCATTACAAAACGATGCAGACATTTATAGTTTTTTCCAAAATATGTAACACATAAGAGCTGCTTTACATACAAAGCGTTTACCTTTAATTTTATTTTTTTTACTGAGTAGACCATGGGGAAGACCATATAGCTACTAGATTTATAGCGGCCCTGTCTGCTTGTCGATAATTCAGTGTGTGGAAATCGCTGTTTATAAAGAAAATGGCGCAAAGTGCAGGTTGGTGGGTAAAATGTAGAGGCATGCGCGGAAAATCATTACCTTCTCTACGAAAATATCAATTAATACAGCGGCGCATCAAAACTGTCATATTTTGGGTTAACATGACCCATATCAGAAGAAAGAGAAGCTAGAAATTAAAATAATAATAAGTGCACGACCGTTTGACAACTAAGTATATTAGCAAATGGACACTTCTTTTTTCCTACTCCTACAAAATTAAATTAAAGATAATTGCTTTTTTGTTGAAATCCTCTGTGTTACATATTTTATAAAAGCACATAAAGGACCTAATAACATTATTAAAGAACGTACAGGGTGTTCCATTAAAAAACACTCAACTTCAGATTATGCCACTACATAACAAAGAACTATCCAGATCAGTTTCTCTTCGATAACCAAACAACAACCAAAGGCTGTTTAAAAATGATTTTTTTTTCAAATCACCCTGAAGATTAGGTCCTATTATCATCAACAAATACAGGAGCTACTGGACAACAGTAAACTTCTAGCAGTTTTAATAGGTATGAATTTATTAATTTTAAACAATATAATCACATATCAATATCTTACTAATAATATCAGTCAAAGATATACTAAGATTCTCAATTAAGGAAAATAATTATGTTAATAGGTAAAATAATCACGTATTACTTAATGTTGAAAAACTATACATAAATAAACCAGATTTTTTTAACCCATTTGCAGCCGCCCTTGAGTCATCAAAAAAGAAATTCAATTTTTAACTGGAAAACGCTATAGTGTTTTTAGATTCGCCCTAATGTGAACTATCCACTAACATGAACTGCAAAATATTTCCATTGGTACTCTGCAGTGTGACAAACCACCTATTGTGTGAACAAGTCTTTTAGACTTAATAATATGCATATAACTTCCACTCATATAAGATGTAAATGAATTAAACATAAAGAAACTTGACTTAATCAAATGTCACTGTCGGTATCTTCGCCACACCCTTGTTTCTTTATTCCTGTAATAACATCGACATAAGGTGAAGGTTCACAGTTTCAATTTATTTTTAAAATAATATTCTTACTTCCTTACTTGCGTCGTAGTCACTTGTACTGTGTTCTGATTTACTTTTTCGACTTTCTGAAAAGTGGGAGTGAAAGTAAACGGAGTACCAATCTCGAATATCAGATATGCAGCTGACATTGTCCTGGTTGCTGATATTGAAAAACTTCAACAGATGTGTACCCGTTTATATGACAGCAGCAACCAATACGGGATAAACACACAACAAAAATCAAATTAATGATAATCAACGGGAAAAAAACGATTATAAGAAAACGATGAAACTCAGATTAATAATCAAACTGTAGAAAGAGTAACACAGTATAAATATCTGGAAAGTTGGATACACACAGATTTCAATTAGGAGACAAAGATACTTTAGAAAATTCTTAGAAATCGGGACCGACGCTTATTAAAAGTGCTTGGACAGACAGGGTAACCAATGAAGAAATATTAAGAAGAGTTCATACAGACCGAGAGCTGTTTACAACTATTAAAAGAAGACAGATACCATTTTGCTGCAACTAATTTTTTTCGCCAGATAGAAGAGATTCATTGTTGACTAATTTTGATACACAGTCCGAGTAGTTTGAACAATCTCATTAATATGAACGCGGTAAAAATGTTTTGTGTCCATTAACGCGAGTACAGTGCATTTTCATTATTAATTCAAAATGGCAACATGATCCTCTGTGGATATAATTTTATTAAGTTTCATAGCCCGCAAGGCGACCAAGGGTGCTGTGACAATAAATCTATAAATGTACGTGCTCTTTCCAAATTTTTGATCCTTGGCCACAAAAGGGTTATAATTACAAACCAAACACAAAAAAGAAAATTCGAAACTGAAACCGTGCTTCCGGAAACGGCAAGTCGCATCTATATCCCCTAAATAGAAAAGAAAGTGTCGTGTTTGTACAGATAAATGGCGAATGCGACCCACAACGCGGTACCCCAAAGGTTCATAAACAGGTAAGCGGCGTGTGTCTCCGCGGTGGGAATCCATCCAAACGGAAAAGTATTCTTAAAAATCTCGTGCCCCACGTAAAGCACGATGGCGTTCATTCCCGGGTAAAAGAAAGGCCGACCGCCCCATTTTTTCCATATGTCGACGGTCATGAAAAGAAAAGCCTCGATTATGAACGCCATACCCCCGGTTACTAAGGCGAACGACAAAGACCAAAGCTGTTTGTTCAAAGGAATCGGGCCGCCGTTCTTCGAAAAGCTACACAAGCTTCCGCCCAGCAAGTTCTGCAAAACGCGCGAGAATACAAAGATAATTTTAATTTTGGGCGGTGTTTTTTTTTCACTTACCGCCGCCACGCCCCAAACGATCCATCGGATCATTTTCGCTTTGACGTTCTGATAGGTTACTAGGGTCCTGCCGGCTTGGACTCCCATATAGACCGTCAGGATTGCGGTCAAAGTACCTTGGATACCTAAAAGGCAGCATGCGAGATACTGTATATCGCGTGTCAACCAATATTTTTTCTCTATTGATAGTGATTTAGTAATAAAATTATTTCTATCTTTTAAATATACTAAATCAACTACTGCTAACATTCAAAATACTAATAACAATGAGATTTGAAATGTTACAGAAGACCGGCTGTCCCAGTAAGAGCAACTATGTATGGTAGTAGAGAGGTTAGTCTTAGAAACTTAAAAAAAATACAAAAAAACTCGGTTCCTACAAAAATTTCCCATATAACAATGGTTAAAGTTAAAGATGAGACAAATTGAAATATTTTTTTAAAAACCTTTTTGGCCATAATGTAAGGGCAACTATGTACGGCAGCAGAGACATTGGTCCTAATAACTTAAAAAAAAATAGTGGTAAACCGGCCAAGAGAAAGTGCTGAAAATTATTTTCCAGTTTTTCAAATAGCCACCAACTGTTGTCTTCAATTTTAAAACTTGGTTCCTACAAAAATTTCCAATATATGTTATATAATAACCATATAACAATAGTTAAAACCAGTACCATTTTAAAAATGAGACAAATTCAAATAATTTTTGCCTTTGGACATATGGACAATTATTTAAATAAATATTCAAACACTTCCACCACTTTCAGCAACACCAATGTGTCCCAACCTTAAAACAATATGCACTTTATCTATGGTTAACAGATGTTTTTGTAGAAACCTAGTTTTAAAATTCAGGAATTCAGAATCTCGAAAATAAAAATAATTTAGGTAAAAGGTAATATTTCGATAGACCAAATTTACTGCGTCCTGACAAAACTAACTAAAAATAATTTCGGCTTATTTATTTTTTTGTTAGTTATCTAAAGCATGGCAGCAATTTGTTTTGTTTGACAGAGGTCCAGCAAGGATAGATTTCTGTTATTTTAGTTAACAGGGTCTATGTGGTGGAGGCATGTGTCTGCCTAGTTTTGTTTACCCAGTTACTGCAGCTGTGTTGTTGCCTGGTTAGTTTAGATGGTTAGTTTATTAGAGAGAGTTTATTGGAGAGGTGTGTGTCGCCAAAGCTAGAGGCATAGTGTTGCCTAGTTTGGTTTACCCAGTAAGAGGAGTCTTCCTGGAGGTGTGTTGTTGGCTGGTTAGGTTTACATGAAGGTAAACAGTGTGACCAGATGAGGTGTGTGTCGCCGAAGGTGGTGATCCCAAAAGCATTGGGTTGATGGTGGTGGAACCGAATTGCAATGTTCTTGATAGCTGATGCTTTCATAGGTTTGCCAAATGATATTACATTGCAAGTTGCAAGTAAGATAATTTTGATTTCCTAGTAAAAGTTTTTGTATATTGGTTAATGTTAATTAAAATAATTGCATCACGTTTTTATTTTTCTTGGTTAGTCAGGATGGACGAGTGAAGGTAAAGCTTTCGAGGTCCAGATGACCACCAGGTTCCCGAGGGCGTGCAGTGACTAGTCAGTATGACCGTGTCGGCGCCCTTAGCTTTGAGTAGTCGATGTTTTCCAATATTTCGTTTTGAGTGTTTGGAATGTTTATTTTTGACTAGTATTATTTATCGGTCTAACCTAAATAGTTATAATTCTGTCATTCGTAATATTGTGGACCCATGGGAACCAACTTTGGTATTTGTCCGAAGTGAAAGGAACGGGACCTGGTGAAGATAGTCTGGCTTTATAGAAGCACCAGAGAGATTTTGAGTAGCTCCGATAGTTTATATTTTATTATATTATTTCGATTATTTCTTACGATCTCCGAAATATATATTTTTTCAAATTTACCGTACCTTGTCGCCCTTACTGGGACACTCGGTATAAAACACAATTTGGAATTATTGTTTTCAAATTTCAATTATTTGATTTCGTTCCTACGGCAGAAATGTGGTTTTATTTATTGTTAGGAAGTTCATTATATTAAACACTTTGGGACGTAAATAATAAATATGCATTTGACATTTTGAGTGTCTGGAATTTAATAGTACAATATTGTTTATTGCGGCATTTTTTTCACCCTCTGGAAATACTCACTCTTTCGGACACCTTTCAGTTTTGAATAACATAACTTTAATGTATGTTAGCGCCACTTGAAATATATGTGTCATTCCCTGAAATTCTTACTCATTTGGTACGCCAAAATTGACTAACTGTTTTAAGTTAACCTGTCTGCCGGTTTTAGTCAATCACTGTAATTATGACAGTAGTGCATGAAAAGGTATTAAGTATTAAATTTAAAACTTAAACTTATATTTACTTTCAGTAAGTCATTATATTAGGAGAGATTAAATTCGCCTAACTAAAAAATACATACTTTAAGAAAATCATAGAATGAACAAATGGGAACGAAACAAAATAACCAAATACAAAAATATAAAAGGAAATGACTGATAATATGGTTTACTATTTATTGGCGCATAGTGCGCTTTTATGATACCTTAATTTACAAAGATCCTTTTTTTTAGCCTGACACATCTTATATTGGCTTTAGCTTTGTCCATTTTGGAGGTATTTAACTTCAAAGCTCGCAAGGCGTTAGAAAGCGTCAACAGATTCCTTGGTAATGGATTAGTTTAATCAAAATGAAGAATGTGAGGAATAAAATTGCGTAGGTAAGTAACGGGTTATATTAGGAGTAGGGCTAACAGGGGTTAAATAGATGAGGTAATATACAACAAATTGAAGGTACCCCTCTATAGGCACATAGTTTTACATAATTATTATTAAAATTAATTAAACAAAAATCAGGTAGAGAAAACGCCACCGTACACAATGGACAGTATATTTTTATTCGCCGTCCATTAAAGAAAAGCCTTTTTGTAAAAAAAACTCCGAACAGATGTAGTTTAAGGCAATCAAAAAATCGAGGTACAACTTCAGGCTTTAACTTCACCTTGTCCTTTTTTCATTGTTGTTATGCACATATAATTTTCTATATTTTGTTTTATCTAAAATAGTAGTCAGCTCAAATTTACTAAATTGATCAATATTTGATATGAAAGACAAAATTCCAAAGCAAAAAGTTTCAAACTCACTTTCAGATCAGAAGGGACCCTTATTCATAGTTTTCACTCGACCATTTCTCGAAGTATGGGGATAATTTGGAACCAAACAATGGCTATTAGGCACTTTCTGCCTACTCATTTTAAATTATTACACTCATACACAACTCATATACTTATCATTTTGCATGGACGTTGTCGCCGAATGCGATGAAGGGAATGTCGTCACAGCGAGGCCACGCCTTGTTTTCACGTCGCCTAAGTTCTTTAATTCATTTAAGAGCTTTAACGGTTTACAAAAGAATTGATATTTTGTAACGTACCAAATGTAGAGTTACATATTTCACTTTTACGGATTTTGACTAATTGGCATATATACTTTTATCTTAAAATTACACATCCTGTATGTTTCTAAAAACAGTTTTTTAGAATTCAAATCTATGACTGATGATAATTGGCCAGAAACAAAATTCGACTTTAATATTAAACTTCAGTTTTTCCACCACATTTCCAGAAATTTTATAACTTTTGCCTTAAGCTTACAACTCAACTCACCTTCGGGATCGAAAAAAACTTTGTTCTCGTATAATTTCTGGCAATCGGGATGTTGGTACATGTGATTCCCGAATGTAAGTCTATCGATGTAGCCTGCGACGCCGCCAGTGCAGTTGAAATGTTTGCCGTGATCCTCGAGGCCGCCCGGGCCCAAATACCCCCTGCCGCAACCTGGCACGTCGACCAGGAAAGTTATACAGGTATGAACGGCCACCAGACCGATCACGAAGCACCACTGAGGCCACGCGCGACCGATGTCCGATATCCAAGAGACATTCTAAAAAAATTTATCAGTTTTAATGATTGCCTTACAAAAATATTGATTACTTATACATCGATTTCCGTCCGCTTGGTAAAGATAACTTCGATGATTCCTATCACAAGGTAACACAGACCGAGCCGTTGTAAAACGCCTGGAAAACGCAGTTGAGCGACAGATTGTCCGTTATTGCTTATGTCGTGACTAGAGTTAATGACGATACCCAAAAATACGAGAATTGCGCATCGTTTGAATATGTGAAAAAGCAGCTGCCTTCTGGGTACTGCTCTACGTAATTTGTTTTGCATGGATATGGCCAACGATATTCCCATTAACCAACCGAACCTGCAAAAACCATTCAACGGTTCAGTTAATTGTGTTGTTGTTTAAGTTTAATCATAAAAAAAAGTTATGGTTCGATGAAAAAAATCAGAAACTTTCTTTGAAAAAAAGAGACAAATTTTATCAAAGACCGAGGCTTATTGGGAAAGAAGTACATTGGAAGAATTACAGAGAAGGCAGAACTGAAGCGGCAAGTTATGGTAAGAAGATATGAGAAAGCATGAAAAAGCTTTAGGTCACCCAAAAATATTTTAAATCAAAGAAGTTTACTTCTTTGATTTAAAAGAACAAGTAAGAATAAGGAAGCAGAGTTGCAGCCGTGTTGAGTGAGTTCCAGGTAAAGAGAGAGATGACCCAAACAACACCTTTAAAGAAATTAAAAAGTAGAACTTTCTTGAAACAGTATCAACCGAAACAAATCTATTGAGCAGAGTGAAATCCCGGATTATGTAAAAAAAAAGTTTCGAGATTTTATTTAAACAACAGTTGATCAAACAACAACATCAAACAAACATTCAGCTAGCAGTATCCAAAAAGAAGGAACGACAATTTAATTAGAAGAAAAATATGGCATTGCTGGTAATGCTAAAAAGTGGTTTGCGAGTTATCAGTCAAAATTTATAATTGCTTTCAATATTGAATATTGAATATGAATATCGTCCTACTATATATGTAACTGAAAAATATAGAGATTTTTTTCAAAATCGTGCAATAAGGGCAATATGAAAAGTAAATAGGTATGCTAATGTTATGTTATATGACAGATAAAATTACTTTTGTAAATGTTATCCATAGGTATAATAATAAAACACTCACAGTAAAATATACATTTCACAAGTTAACAAGATATAAACTGATATTTAAAACATAATGCACTACCAGCATAATGTTTTAAAAGAAAATTATATACACATGTAAAGTTATCAATAGAATAATGAATGGGTGAGCAATTAAGAAGGATACTATCACTAGAAGCAATTGAAGTGTGGAAATGCCAAAGGGTCTATGCGCAAAATTACATTTTTGAGATAATCAAGGAAAACTGTTTAAATTTTCAATAATAGTTATTTCTTATATAGGGCAAATGCAGGTTTCTCAGTTATTAGGATAGGCTCATATTCCTTTTCTTAGGGCATGTGGCGGTACAAGTACACTCTTCAATTGTCACAAAGACTTGGGGGAAAAAACTTATCACTAAAGCGGGCAAGAAAAAACTATAGAAATAATTTTTAAGTTTTTGCGGAGTATACTTATATCACAGCTAACTAAAATAAACACCGTTTTAAAGTTGGGATAGGTAAATTCGATTCTTTATTGTTTTCCAAAGCACACTTAGATTTTAAAAAATTCGAATTTCGAATGAATGTTGATTTTTGTTTTCACTAGCGTATTAGATTCTTACTTGGTTATTTTTCTTTGTAATAAAAGTCATATCCTTGCAGTTTTTTCATAAATGTCGCAAAACGATGTCTGGTGGCGACACAAACAATCTAAATCAATCTGCTCAGTTTGACATAAGTTATTCACATTTATTATCGAAAATGTTCCAACACTTTCCCTTAAGAGATACAGCAAAAACCAATTAACAAAAAATAGGATTAAAATTCAAGAAAGATTACGCGCGGACGCGGGGCACATTAAAGTTACTATACCATTGTGTCTATACACTTGATTTATAGCAAATTTACTAATAATAAAATAATTCATTTAGTAGATAAGTTCAACAGTTCAATAAATTTATCTCTTGATGACTCATGCAGAAAGCGGATGCTGGCATCTTTTTATGCAAACAAAACAAATGACTTAAATTTACTGCAACCTAAACATCTATGTATGTTACTAACCAACAGGTATAAATCAACTCACCAAGGAAATACTAAATCAGCTACTGTAATCCCATTCCAACTTGAGTGTTGAAAAAACCAATAGTGTCCTCCTCCATAGTTGACAAATATCATAATGATTATGCATAACCCACGGAATACATCAATAGACTTAATCCTGTGAGAGTGCTTTTTGACTGAAGGAGGCCTTTCAATCACTAATGGAGCACTCGCTGACCATCCTAAATCCTTTTCAAGTTCTGAACTTCGGGCCAATAGTTCTTTTAGTCTGCTGCTACTTTTATATATACATTTTACCATATACCATGCAGTACCAAAGCAAAATAATGCGACGAATGCCATTAAAATCGCTACAAAAATATAATTGCACAAAAAGCACAATTTGAGTTAGGGTGTTAAGAATTTGATCTACTTTTCGGCCAAAGATAAATTAATTCCCACTTGTGGCTAATCTATTTAATAGGATTAATATCATGTTCATTTTCGGTCAATAACACCTGACTTTTGGAATCCACCTTGCAAATACTTTATGTGAAAAGTAAAGCGCATATGAAATTAATACCAATTTTGAATTAAAATAATGGGATGTAGATCAGCAAGTAGATCTTTACCATTACATTTGGGAAAGTCACTTACGCAAATAAGCATTATCCGCTGGTTCCTCAATATATATTTTGGAGCACTGGTCGGATATATTCCAACCATACCGATAATGTTCATACAAAGTCTCCTTATTCCTACACATCGTTGCATTATTGACCACATAGCAAAAATTAAAAGGAGACCTAGTGTTTACAGGTATCGAAGTATGACTTAATGGTTTTAGCGTCGTCAGGTTTTGAAAATCACATTCGTGACACTCCTCATATTGTCCGGATATGTATACGCTATCATTCAATTTGTTATAAATATCAATGCATGCAACGTCGTACATTAATTCCGTTTTTTTTTCAAGGCACTGGTTTGTGTTCTTGAACAACATATTTAATATCGTTGATATAAATCAAATCTCTTACTTGCACAAATGGCACAAACCAAGCAAACACTCAACTTTTGGCTTTTACACACCTAAAATTTTTGTTTTATATACAAAGACTTTTCACAGATCATATATGTAATTATAAAAAGACTTAATCACAGATCATTGTTGCATTTACTTTCAGTCAAAGAATATTATGCAGATAGGTTATTATGACTAACCGTTTTCTAGAATTCAAAACCTCCATGGTGTCGGTAATAGAAATTTGCCCTGAACTCGAAATGTGAAGCTATAAAAGTCAAAAAAAAGCATCAAAAGTTTAATTATTTGAGACCTGTGAACAAATTTATTACTGAATTTGTAGTATTCTGTGCTCTAACTTCTATGGTCACATGACGGGTAAACATGAATAGAGATGGGTAACATTTCATTTAATGAATAGGGATTCTATAGAGTGGTTATGGCTATGATATTGCTGCAAACAGATACCATATTTATAGATTTTATTCTTATTCAGTTTGATTTAGTTTAGACCGTCTTAAGATACCCACTTACTTATACCAGATGTCCCAGAATGGATACTGGAATTCTAAAATATTAATAATTCGTAATGGGTTTGTACTGCGTGTCCCCGTAAGGGCGACAAGTTACGGTATTAGGGACACGGGTAGTCCTAAACATTAGAAAGCAATATTAAGTAAATCGGCCAAGAGAGAATGAGAAAAGTTCGTATCTTCAAAAATGCTTAACGCATTTTATTAATGTTGGGGTCATTGAAAGGGACTTCTTATATGTAATCAATTTATTTATAAACTAACTTTTCAATTTACCTATAAAAATAATCAACGTCAATGCAGCAAAGTTAATACGGTTTTAACTTGTTTAAAAAAGGTTTAGTTGATACAATTCAAAAGTTATTTAAGTTATTTATTCGGTTTTAAGATTTTATAACCATATTAACTTAGCAACTTTGACGATTTCTATAGGTCCATCTGAGGCATTCCTTTGAAATTGAGTAATTATTATTGAAGTGTAGTTCATCTAAGTGATTTGATTGCTCTTTCTTTGAATTAAGATGTTCCAAGAAAATGCTAGGTTGCAAAAATGTGAAAAATTCAAGTTTGTCCGATTCTTGTCAACACTGGCGTAGAATGTTCAGACAACAACAATTAAAACTTTACATTTTTTTGAAGCATTAAGCTCTTTTATTTTTTTTTCAAAGAAACTACAAGAATCTTCTATTTATTCCTCCCTCGTCGGTTGCAAGAAATCCAACTTGCTGACATTTCGTCCATCATCCTATTGGCTTCTTCAGTACTTAAGAAAGGTTTGCATTCTACTCTGTACCTGCTTACATTAGTGTTTGTTACAATAATTTTATTTCTAAATTTTAATTTAGCCTCGCACACATCCAGTTGCCTGCATTAGGTGCTGTTGAAGCCAAAAAAGTATTTAAAGAAATTAATTATTTAAGTAATTACAAATATTTCTACTGTACGTACATAATTTAAATAGATGGAACGGTTAATATATAATAACTATTATAATGCGCTCTACTCCTAGTTGAACTACGTATGCCAAATTCATTGATATAAATAATATGCTATGCAATAGGAGAAAGAACACTTATAGAGTTCTTTATGGTGTGATGGAATTGTTAAAATATTTTTCCTACGTATATTCACATTATGAACATCTGTTCTATAAGTTACTCGTTTTAGCAGGTATTGTATTTTTTAGTATTTTATAAAAGAAACAGGTTGCATGCAGGATACGCCGATTACGCATATTTAGCTACTTTATATCTCTGACTTTATGTGTTACATGTTTCCTACGACGCATCCCAAATACAAGGCGCAAGCAGGAATTTTGAAGTTTTCAAAATCGTTGTGTCAATAGCATCCAAGCAAGGACCATAAACATTGTCACAAAAATTAAGAAGTGACAAAACTAGAAATTCGCAATAGCATATTTTTGATATTGATATGTTCTTAAGTTTTGAAGTTATATGCTCTTTAAATCGTAGTTTGTGGTCGATTATAAGACCAAGACTTTTTACGGAATCTTTAAAAAGTATAGTTTTATTGCCCAGTTCAGTATCAAGATTGTGTATTCTAACATTTTCCCCACAAAACAGAATCGCGACGGACTTCTCTGGATTTACTTTGAAAAGGCGGTCTTGAGTAACTCGGAAAAGACTAGATAAATCGTTGTTAATCCAATCTTTGGCGTGCTCAGTTTCAGTTGCCTTGAACTGAAAAAATATTTGCGTGTCGTCTACAACAGTGGTCCTAATATGCTACCTTGAGGCACCCCATAAACGACATCAAGGTTATCGGTCGCACGCACCCTCTGTCTTTTCTGCGATGGAAATGACTGAACAAAGTTTGAGGCCAAGTATAGAAGCCAATGTAGTGTAAGGTAGATGTAAGAGTTTTATGATTTACCACATCAAAAGCTTTTGTGAAATGCACTGTTACTATCTAAGGCCTCGAAACTCTCGTCCGTTACATCAGAAAGAGCAGTAGAGCAGCTGCGGACTGTACGAAAACCTATCTTAAGAAGTTTTCAATTTGGATTGCCATAATTTTTTAGAGAGTCTACGACAGTGTCGGAAGAATAAAAATTGAACCAAGTTCACTGAAGTTAGTAGCTACTTGATTGCTTGAATAGATAGAAATTTTCACATGAGTTTAAAATGTGCACAAGAGGGGGCAATATGCTAGGACAAGCCAGTAGGATTAAAGTTATATTTAGGTGATCTGCACCAAAAGCTATAGATTTAATATTTTTTAATATATTTATAATTAGATCCTCCGTGACCATATTAAATTCAAATTGGTTATTTGTTAATTTATTATTATTATTATAAAACGACAGTAAATTTTCATCGGGATGGCTAATATTTGATATTGCAGTATGCATTTAGTTCGTTCACGTGTTTTTAATTTTCAGGTATATTTGGTCTGTGTTTTTTGCTGCCATTTTTGATTTTGATTTCAATTTGAAAAAATTTTTTGACGTTGCGAAATTACATAACTGTTTATAATATTCCCAGTCTCCTGGCTTCTTTGCAACCCTAAACTTTTTGAGTGCTTTGTTTCGGAGTGTACGCATTAATCTTATTGTTGGGAGTGATACAGGGTTGGTAAGGTTTCTTTTTGCCCTTTGCAATTTTAGGAGGAGCACGTGAATTTGTAATATCTAAAAGCCCATTTGTGAGAAAGTCTACCTTATTGTCAATATCCAGTGTAATGCACATTAAATCCCAGGGAAGTGACTCGATGTCAGAGACAATTATACTCCTGTAACTAAAAGTATAAGTAGATGGTGAAGCTACATGAATGCCTATATCAAAGTACACTAACATGTGATCTGGTATTTGAAGATCCCTAATCAATCCCTTCACCATTGCAGAAAATTAAATCTATAAGTGTGAAACCAGCGTTTGAGTTTCTTGTAGGGACTGCAATAAGCTGCTTCAAATCAAACACGTTCAATGCATCAGAATCCACGTGTGCAGGCAACCATGTTGCGGAGACACCTTAAATGTCATATTGAAAGGAGAGTAAATGATCCGATAAAATATTAGAAGAATTTAGCAGTGATCTAGCATTGATATATCCTTAGGTAAACATAGTAAAAGAAGGTCAAGGTACGAGAACACAACGGGATTTACAAAGGACGAGGAAAAAAATGGGAATTAAATATATTTCTATGAGTTTTGTTAAGAATATAAGATAACAATCCAAAAAAAGTGACAAGTTAACGAGTGCAGCTGCCAGAAAAATTACAAAAGAGAAAATACTCAAATTAGCAGACAGCACTTTCTTTCTTTCTTTTCTTTCTGCTGTCTCTTCGAAAAGGGAAAGAAAAAAATCATTCAACTAAATCCAAAAAAAAAATTTTTTTTTGGAGAAAAGACAGTCCTATTCGTTGCCTCATAATGTTCTTCCGCTTCTCAGCGTTTTCTTTAACCCGGGTCTTGTACTACCAATTCTGGAGAATATTATGGTTTTCTTTTCAGGCCGCTGTTCTTTTCTTCCTGTTCTTTATTGTTTGAGTTATTTCCATAAATAGGTTCTTCGTTCTCCAAACTAGTGACTTCTTCCAATTCCTTAACCCGTAGTGTTTCTAAGCTGTACGGTTTATCTTCCATAAAGAGGGGGTAATTTTTTATTTTTGCAGGTTTGTTTTCTTGTCTCGCAATATGGAGATACATTCTTAATAGCTTCCTATCCGAGTACTCTTCTTGCGTAGAGTCCACATATATTCGTATAACTATTTTTTCAGCCTTTCCTATTCGATACAAGTTTCTGAAATCGGTCTGGCGGCAGAATACTTCATAGTAATCCTTAAGTATTTTTATAAATTTAAGTAGCTCGTCTGATTTTGCTACTTTTTTGTTGTTTTTTCAAGCTTTGTTTTCACTCCTCAGAAACTCGTTTTCCAATTTTATTTTATGGAGATCACTCAATAGATTCTCCTCGATGGCATTAATCTCCCCCTTGACGTCGTTGTTGCCTTGAGAAATTTACTATTACTATTTACCATTATTTGAATTAAATCATATATTTGTTTCGTAGTTATTTCGTTACTTTCGATTATTCGGACAATTTTGTTATGTTGTCGCCTTTTATGCAGTTTATTTTTACTTGCACAAAAAAAAACTGAAGCGGTTGCTGATAAGAACTTACAATGCTCGATATTTGCAGGTTAAATTTGGCTACTTAAGTTATTTATATGGTATTTTTTTGAATATGTGGGAACACATGACATGCTGACAACTTTTGTTGAATTAAAGCAGACCACACCACAGGAAAAAATTATTCAATGAAATTAATGCCAAAAAATTAAAATTGCTGTTTGGGTCACTTTATACATTTATTATTTAACCAAGACAACAAAACAGAAAAGATTCTAAGGATAATATTAATGATAACATTACAAAGATAAACGTTGCAAGTACATTTTGATTTCCCCATAACTGCAGTAAAAAATTCGCACTTAGTTCTATAGTCCACACTGAGAATATAGTTTGGAGTCGTACCAGTTGTAGTCTCGCTGCTCCGAAATTTATTTCAACATTTTTACGTTCTATCAGGAAAATTTTTATTCTTGGCCGAGATCGGAAGTGTCAATTTCGCTTTCAGAACTGTC